TGTCCATCCACTCACTGTACTCAGGGGCACAGATGGAAGCGAGCTCAAGGGAAGCCAACGAACTTCTCGATCAGATTACAAAAGGGGTCAACGATAAGATCAACCGTTCGGTAAACAAGACAAACAACAAGCTGCCCTGCCCTGTCTTGCTCTGCCCTGCCAGGCAAAGCCTACTGATGGTAGAGGTGTAGATCTTCCATCCTTCCAATTCCCCGGCCGTGGCTGTCTGCCCTGGCTATGTCATTGAATTGCTGTAGTGTAATGGCGGCTCCAGTCGGGGAATTGGGGATGGCCTGCACTGTGGGGTGCTGCTGTTAAGGCACCCGCTGTGGTCGCGGGGCGCAGGCGCTAAAGCGCGTTAAGGCGCCCAATGAATGGCGAGGGCGTCCTCCTGATGCGGCGGGAATCATCACTGGTGAATTGACTCAGATATCGGCCTGTAGGGTGGTCAAGTTAGCACTGCCCTGGGGGACCTGATGCCCGTGAAGCGAGCCGCAACCTAACGCCTTTTCCCCCCCCCCCCCATGGAACCCCCCACAGACAATGGAACCTGGAACCAAGGAACTCAACGAACTTAAGCGTGCTGAAGAACCCGCTTGGCCCATGGACAGAGAGGCACCTCCCGGGCATCCATTCATTACCTTTGATCGACAACCGAACCGCGTTCTCCCTTCCACCGTCCGTGACGCCGTCCCCGGGGCTTCGAATGATACTACAGACCAGACACCTTGACGGAAGAAAAGCCGCAACTCTGGCCGCCGAAACAAGCACCAATCCCACCACCACCGCCGCCGTCTCTCGGTCATCCGTCGTTGAGCTCGTCCGAGTCCGAGAGCCTTCAGTGGCCTGCTCCGTTGCTCCCCTGCCGTATCACGTCACCGATGTCTACCATTGCTGATGGGGATTGCCGCTACCGATTTCTCAACCCTTAGCATACCCACCAGTGCATGCCACTGCTCTGTGTTCATACCATTGATTCTCATCGCCCAGTATGGATCGCCAAAGACGGCGTGAGTTTGCAGCCCTTCCCTCCCCTCCGCCCCCTCTCCTCCCGCTTTTCCGTTCACTTTGGGCTGTAACTTGGCTCTTTGGCTTTTGTTGGGCTAACGATTCGTAGGTGAGCTGCGGGCGCTGAACTCGAGGGCTTGGAATGGCGAGAAAGGTACGATTTACGAGATTCTGCTGCGCCCGATATCCAGTCGGCCCATTTGCTCACGCTCTTCACTTTCAACAGATCTCTTTCCCGTCAGCAAGTCCCTCGACTCTACCCTAAAGAAAAACACTGCTTTTATCAAGCGTCTCCGAACCACCATCTCCGCCGCCACCCAGAGCACCTTCCTCCAGGAGATCCGCACCGTCAGCCTCTCCAAATACCTTTCCGAAATCATCTCAGCATGCTACGAGGGCCTCTGCAAGCTCAAGTCTCCGGGAGACATCGAGGCCGGCGTCGAGATCGTCAGCGCCCTGCACCAGCGATTCGGACCCGCCGACTTTACCGAACACTTGGGCTGGCTTCTGGGCAAGGGCATGGCCACTCCCGATAAGAGTTTCCTCAAGACCCTTACCCCCGAGGCGAGAGAGAAGGAAGAAAAAGACCGCTTGGTTCGACAGCGCGTTCTCCTCCGCATCGTGACCGAGCTCTGGCTTGTCGATGTTCTGCGGACCCTGGACGATATTGCTCGCCCCGACGACGCTACGAGACCGACCACGGGAGCCAGAGCCGAGCCGAAGCCGCGCTCTTCGTCCGGCAAGGGAGGCGGTGCTGAGCCCTTTCCGCTCGAAGTTCTGAAGGATCTCTTGAATCACGATCGAGACCATGCCAATCTCCCCTTGCTCGTCATTTTCGTCAAGGCTTTCAGTTGGGATATCTTGGGTATCAAGGCTGCGGGCCAAGATGGTCGTAAAACCGTGGAGGAGGATGGCGCTACCAAGGGCGCCGAGGAGACCGAAGGCGACGGATCCGAAGACAAGGAGGAAGGTGCGGGCACGGATCAGGACGGTCCCTTTGCCCCTCCTGAGTTGCAGGAGCGCTTCAAGAATATCCTCAAGCGCTACTTTGAGGACGTCAAGGGCCACCTTGTTCGGGACCAAAAGGCTATCTACAACCAGTCGCGCAAGAATGCGGAGGCGTATGTCAAGTCGGGAGAGGTCTTTGAGGATCGCCAGTCAAACTTTGAGAAGCAGGTCAAGGCTCAAGAACGTCTCGTGGCCAATGCGCAGGTTATTGCTGATATCATTGGCGCGGAGATGCCTGAGTTGAAGGATACTGATGAGGGCAACTCCGCAAATGGCACGATCGGCCTGGTCAAGGCCGGTGAATACCTCCGTGGACAGGGTGAGGGGCCCGGAATATGGGAGGACGAAGAAGAGCGTCGCTTCTATGAAAACTTGGTTGATCTGAAGGGCAAGGTTCCTGGCATTCTGCTTGAAGAAGTTAAGAAGAAGAAAGCAGATGATGAACAGGTGGGCAGGAAGATTGACCCTGTTGAAGCCGCGGAAGCTGCCAAGGCGGCCGAGGCTGCTGCCGCCGATGACCAGTCTATTGCTATTGCGAACAAGACAATTGGCGCTCAGGTTGACGCCCTGCTTGTGCGCCTTCCTGAGCTCATCAGCAAAGACGCCATTGACCAGATGGCTATCGACTTCTGCTTCCTCAATTCAAAGGCGTCTCGCAACCGGCTCATCAAGGCCTTGACCGATGTGCCCAAGGGACGTACCGATCTCCTCCCGAACTGGGCTAGGCTTGTTGCCACACTTGGTCAATACATGCCCGATATCCCCAAGGGCCTTGTTGACTACCTTGACAATGAGTTCCGTAGTCTCCAGCGGCGCAAGGAAAAGGAGTTTCTTGGGCAGGTCAGGCTGAGCAACATTCGCTACCTGGCTGAGCTGACCAAATTTGGCATTGTTCCGGAGCACGTTGTCTTCCACTGTCTCAAGGTCAGTTTGGATGACTTTTCGCGGATGAACATTGAGATCATTTGCAACCTGCTTGAGAACTGCGGCCGGTACCTGCTTCGTAACCCGGAGACTTCTCCGCGTATGGCTTCCTTCTTGGAGACGCTGCAGCGCAAGAAGTCGGTCCAGCATATTGGACAGGCCGAGAGGATGCTCATTGAGAACGCTGTCTACTATGTTGATCCGCCGCAGCGCCCTGCCATTGAGGTGAAGGAGAGAACGCCTATGGAGCTCTTCATCCGCAAGTTGATTTATGGCGATCTCACCAAGAGGAACTACAGCAAGATCTTGAGGCATATCCGCAGGCTGCACTGGGAAGAGAAGGAGGTCGTCGCGATTCTGCACAAGGTCTTCTCCAAGCCCGGAAAAGTCAAGTATGGTAACATCCATCTCTTGGCCATCCTATTGAGCGCCCTCTACAAGTATCATGGCGAGTTCGTTGTCGGAGTCATCGACCAAGTGACCGAGTCTATCTGCCTCGGCCTGGAGTCGAATGACTTCAAGTTCAACCAGCGCCGCATCGCTGAGGTTAAGTACCTTGGAGAGCTCTACAACTACAGAATGCTGGAGCACCCAGTCATCTTCGACACCATGTACAAGATCATGACGTTTGGTCACGGCGGCCCGCCCGTTCCAGGCCGCGTCAACCCCTTCGATTTGCCCGATGACTTCTTCCGCATTCGCCTCATCTCCACCATCCTTGAGACCTGCGGTATGTTCTTCAACAAGGGTGCTGCTGGAAAGAAGCTCGATTTCTTCCTCTCCTTCTTCCAGTACTACATCTATACGAAGAATCCGCTGCCCATGGACGTCGAGTTCCTCGTCCAGGACATCTTCGCCCTCACGCGGCCGCAGTGGAAGCTTGCATCCAACCTGGAGGAGGCGTCCAAGGTGTTCCAGCTGGCCATGGTCCAGGATCAAAAGACATCTGGAGTCGAGAGGGTCGTCGAGCCGGAGGACAACGATAGTGACGTGTCCGACGACGAAGACGGCATGGTCCCAGATGAGGATGAGGACGACGAGTCGGACGACGATGGTGGTGGCGAGGCTGAGGACAATGAGCAGCAGGATAACACTTCGAGGTACAACAGTGAATCTGAAGAGGAGGAAATTGTCGTTACCAGACAGCAAGAGGAGGTTGATCCGGAGGAGGAGGCCGAGTTTGAGCGCGAGTTTGCCAAGATGATGGCCGAGAGCCTGGATTCCCGCAAATTCGAGCGCAAGCAGCAGTTTGACCTGCCGCTTCCCATCAAGCTCAAGCCTCGTGAGTCTACGGCTGTTGGCGAGTCCTCTACTGCCAACGAGGCCGGACCCTCGGAGGCTCCTCCCTCCGGGGAGAAGATGGCTTTTTCGCTTCTCACGAAGAAGGGTAATCGCCAGCAGGTACGTGACCACCCATCAGTCCCACACAGAAGAGTCCAGTACACTGACAACACATACAGACTCGCACCGTTGAACTGCCTTCGGACTCGCACTTTGCTATTGCTATGAAGAAGAAGCAACAGGCAGAGAAGGAAGAGCAGCAGCGCATCAAGAACCTTGTCCTGAACTATGATCTCCGGGAGAACGATGATTATGAGGGTAACGAGAAACTCAACGCCCATCACCATAACCGCTCCGATCTTAGGTTGAACAAGGAGCGGGGTGGACAAAGAGTGAGAAAGTTGCAGCTTAGTGATGTTGATTGGTAAGTCATTTGTCGTTCGTGGTCACGACTCAAGCAACATGAAATGCTAATGCGAAATACATAACAGGACTTGATCATGATCTTTGAGCGAGAATACGTATTATTCTTCAAAACTACACCACCGTGGAGACAAAAGAGCGCATCGCGTTCACCACAGTTCGACGGTTTCTCTTGCAAGCAAGCAACAAGTTCACACAGCAACACAGCAAGCAAACAAGACCGCGTGTAGCTTTTTTCCCAAAAGCAGTTCACAAATCAGGATCAGCAACTCACTCGCTGGACTTCACGTCTCATTCCTTTGGAGAGAGAGCAACAAGCACAGAACAGTACAGCACAGGCCTAAGCCAACAGCACCATGCCTGCCGGCCGAACCCCGAATGAGTATACAAGCTACTACATCGTTTACTCGATGGTAAGGCGCTGAGCAATGGCTGTCGATGGCGGGTTAGCACATGGGTTGGGTGAGTAAGTGTTGAAAAGAAAAGTGGGTGGAAGTGGCGAAGGAAGGAAGGGAGAAAGGAAGGGGTGATGGGAAAAGAAGGAAGGGGTGACGCAGACGACCAACCAACCAACCCTTTCAAGCGAGCGTGCGGTACCATACCGGCTATTTTAGCGATGGAACTCCTTCTTTTTTTTGTTTTTCCAGACTGGATCCGCGTTATTTATGCTTCCACTCAGCTTTCTGGGGGGTGCGTATTGACCGTCGCATGGGATTAATAGGCAGGCAGAAAGGGTAACAGGGGTCGGTTTTATCAAGCCGAACCGCTTGGTGCCGGTGCCGGTGCCTGTGAGGAAGTCAAGTACAAAAAGGGCTACCGACTTTTTGGGGAGGAAAATTCTTGGGTTTGCTTCAGTTGGGCTAAGTGGGCAAGGGTAAATAAAGTTCACAAAAAGGAAAATTGGGGGGATGAGAGATTTGCGTTGGAGAGACAAAAAAGAATGAAAATAAAAACGGAGGTGTTTGACGTTGATGAGGATCGCGAACAAGAAAATCAAGCGAGAAAAGTTATAAAAATACTAGATAGTTTTCAAGCATTCGTTGGTCTTGAGTAGGGCATAGTGAGCCCTCAGGTTTTTATTTTGCATATATGTAGATGTTGTTATGGTGTAGGTCCGTAGCTTGTAGCGAGCGGGCGAGGTAAGTTCAGACAAGGTAGGTAACTGGTATTTAAAGTCTAGTAACGGGTTAATCCCCTTTCGAAACCTACTACATATGTACATCACATCACTAGCAACACTATAGAGGGTAAACAAACAGGCTATTATTAAATATTTATAGCGAAAAACAGAGTTAGTAAGTAGCGTAGGTAGGTAGCCAACACAGCGGTAACATCCGTACACATATTTGCTCGTATCGACGACTGGACCACGACCACGACTGACTATGAGCACGAGCACGAGCATGAGTATAAAGTTGGACGGTAGTCTAGACGTAGTACACGAACATGATATCCGATGGTGTTACCGTCACCCATCTTTCTATCCATCCATCCATCACTGGACTCAAAGCCTAGGTCTAAGTCTAGGTCTAGGTCTAGGTCTAGGTCTAAGTCTAGGTACCTAGGTAGGTCTGAGTCTAGCAGTACAAGACTAGTCGTAACTAACCGTGGTCACCTAGAGATACCTACCTACCTATCTATAGTAGGTGTGTGTATGAGATCGATCTTGAGACATAGCGAACGAAGCTGCTTATGGAACTAGATGATGATGACGGCGTGAAGTGGTGGAGTGAAGTGGTGAAGGAAGTAAAGAAAATAACTGAAACAACGTTTGAATCGAGTCCCTTAGATAGGTATGTTAATACCTCTTTTTTAGTAGCCAGCTCGCGATTTTAATAGGCAGCGGCTTCCAGAGGGTCTGTGCACCCACCCCCCCTTCTGCAAGATCCCCTTTAAATACAAGAGAAATGGCTGCCCGGATTCCTTGTAGATACTAGGGACATTCCTGTAGTCCTTATACACTTGAATTAGACAAAGTGATGGCGCCATCGGTACGACGGTACGTAGTTAATTGAAGAATGGAATGCGACGAGAGTGGAAGGAACACCGATCTTGTGCATTATACCATCTCTCCCCAGAAAACTGTCCATGTTCAGATGGTAGGTCTCTCGTACCTCGTAGATGCAAATCTCACTATGAGGAGGTGGGAGATGGGAGGTGGGAGGGAGGTTTGTCGCCCTCGAGCTTCGCCATCGACGGACGGGACGTGGAAAACACGGGAAGGAAGGTAAGAAGGAAGCGAGTGGGTGGTGACGCCGGCCGGCCGGTTAAAAAGCCATACATACATAAACTATTTTCATTTATCTCCAAATTGCCCGAACCGGACTTGGTCACGTTGCTAGTTGGGTCAGAACCACACTTTTGCTCTTTCCCCTTGAACTCAGTTCGAACTTCATTAGCTTTAATTTACTTATCTTCCGTCTTTCGGTTCCGCGCTGGAAGATGGAGTGATGAAGAAATGAAGAGATGTAGAAATAAAAAGATGGGAGATGGAAAACAAACGATGTCGCGAGTCCAAAGTCGTCGCTCTGTTTCCCGAAGCCAGATGCCTAAACGCTAACTCCTTATTTTATTTTATTTTTTCACCCTCTCTTTTCCTCTTACCCCCGGACCCGGGCATGCACGACATCTAATTACAATACCTACCATATATTCCTAACCCTTGCCCTGGCTTAACTTAACCCAAGTCAAGTCTCCGGAAGTTGTACATACTTGAGTCAAGAGGAGTACAACATGAGGTGTAGATATGCATGTTATTTAGTTTAGGCGCTCGGGACTGGGAGAACGAGTATAATTTGGACATTTGAGGGAGCATGGTTTGACAATAACGAAGCATATAACGCCCATGTGTTTATTCTCTTGAAGCTTTCTTCTCTCTCGCTCTCGGATAGTGTGTCCAATCCTTTCCCAGCCAACAACAACAGCCATCCCCTTGCGATCTTCACGAAAAAAGAGTGTCCCTTCCCCCTTCCTACCCGGCCGCTGGATCTACATTGTACACACAACACAGACTTCGTGTTGCGTTCAAAGCGTGCGCGTGTCGTATTGTATTGTTTGGTCTCGTCTCGCCGGCTCGCTCTGCAACCACCCGTCCGCCCGTTCACCCGTTCACCCGTCCACTCGCCACCGAGACAAGCGAAAACCTTGCGTGACGACTCAGACTCAGGCTGGTAGACCAAACTTTGAGAGGAGACTATGACTGTATAGAAAGACTGTGACAAGAATAGTAGAAGAAAAGTCTCGCGTTTGCTGCACCTTTCCGTTTCCCCCTCTCTCTCTCTTCTCCTCCCCTCTCCTTCCCCCCGTCTTTGGTCTTTAGGAGGGACACCGCTTGTTTTTCGTGGTATCCGTTATTTCTACCTAGTGGGCGCCTTTTTTTTTTTTTCCAGTTTCTGTGCCGGTTTGAACGTGCCGGTTAGAAAAAAAAAAAAGAAGAGGAGTAAAGAAAACTAAAAACACCTGGCTTTCTCTGCGGTTCATCGCCAATTCTTCTTCGTTTTTTGGAAAATCCAGGCTGGTGAATATACGCGACGGGACACTGGACACTGGACACTGGACACTGGACACTGGACACTGGACACTGGACACTGGACACTGGACACTGGACACTGGGCGAATATATACGTCTGCCTTTTGGCTGCTCTTTGCAGTGTTGCATCGTTTGGGATACCGTTTTGGAGAGTGGGAGAAAAAAAAAGAAAAAGGAAAAGAGGGAAAGTCAAACGATATGACTATCAATCACCTTGGGGAGGACGAATGGCCCGTGAAAGAGGTAAGGAATCATTCACTGTCTTTGGTGAGTAAGAGGAGAGGGGAATTGGGTCGCCTGGCTAACTTTTGCACTTCTTCTTCCCAGATCGTCTATACGGCCATCGTGGGACTGGTCATGCTCGCGGCATGTCTCGAGTGGTTCTTATGGATCGCCGCGTTCATGTACTGTCTCTGGAAAGTGTTTGTAAAGGCTGAACACTGGACAGTCAGGGTATTGTCAGTGATCATAGGAATTGCCTTTATGTTGCTGAGGTATGTTATGTTATGTGTTCAACCCATTACAACCAGCCCTTACAACCAACATAATGTCCAGCCAACTAACTATCGACGTCATCCAGATGTATCTTCCTACCCATCATGATCGTCACCCTCCCGCTTCCCAGCCAAGTCGTCAAAGTCTGGCCACCAGCCATGGTCAGCTTCCTGCAATGGTTCGCCTTCTACAGCTTCGCCGGCCTGCTCACCATCCCCTGGCTCTTCTGCGTCTACCAAATCGTCACCCACCAACTCGGCCGCACCAAGCGCATCAAACAAGTCCTCGACGAAGTCTCGGCGCCCAAAGTCGTCATCGTCATGCCCTGCTACAAAGAAGACCCCGACGTGCTCGTGGCCGCCCTCGACTCGGTCGTCGACTGCGACTACCCGCCCTCATGCATCCACGTCTTCCTCTCCTTCGACGGCGACCAGGAAGACGAGCTCTACCTCAACACCATCGAGAAGCTAGGCGTGCCCCTGACGTTAGAATCCTCCTCCTACCCCAAATCCATCGACGTCGCCTACCAGGACGCGCGCGTCACCGTCTCCCGCTTCCCGCACGGCGGCAAGCGCCACTGCCAAAAGATGACCTTCAAGCTCATCGACCGCGTGTATCGCGAGTACCTGAAGCGCAACGACAACCTGTTTATTTTGTTTATTGACTCGGACTGCATCCTCGACAAGGTGTGCTTGCAGAACTTTGTCTACGACATGGAGCTCAGCCCGGGCAACCGGCGCGACATGCTGGCCATGACGGGGGTGATCACGTCGACAACCCAAAAACACAGCTTGATCACGCTGCTGCAGGACATGGAGTACATCCACGGCCAGCTGTTTGAGCGCACCGTCGAGTCCGGGTGCGGCGCCGTAACTTGTCTTCCGGGCGCCCTGACCATGCTTCGGTTTTCGGCCTTCAGGAGAATGGCCAAATATTACTTTGCCGACAAGGCCGAGAACTGCGAGGACCTGTTCGACTACGCCAAGTCGCACTTGGGCGAGGACCGCTGGCTGACGCACCTGTTTATGATCGGCGCGAAGAAGCGACACCAGATCCAGATGTGCACGTCGGCCTTTTGCAAGACGGAAGCCGTGCAGACGATGCGGTCGCTGATCAAGCAGCGGCGCCGGTGGTTCCTGGGGTTTATTACGAACGAAGTGTGCATGCTGACGGACTGGCGGCTGTGGAAGCGGTACCCGATCCTGATCCTGGTGCGCTTCATGCAAAACACCATCCGCACCACGGCGTTGCTGTTCTTCATCATGGTGCTCGCCCTCATCACCACCACCAAGAAGATCGACGACCTCCCCGTCGGCTTCATCGCCATTTCGCTGGGTCTCAACTGGCTCATGATGATCTACTTTGGCGCCAAACTGCGCCGCTTCAAGATCTGGCTCTACCCCCTGATGTTCGTCCTCAACCCCTTTTTCAACTGGTACTACATGATCTACGGCATCTTCACCGCCGGCCAGCGCACCTGGGGCGGCCCGCGCGCCGACGCCGCAGCCGCCGACTCGACCACCACCGCACAGGAAGCCATTGAAATGGCCGAGAAGACGGGTGACGATCTCAACATTGTGCCCGAGTCTTTTATCCCGGCCGCCCAAGAGCGCAAGGGCATGCTAGAAGACAAGGGCTTCACCACCGGCATTAGCACTGGCGGCGGCGGTGGTCTCGGCCGCTCCAAGAGCATCCTCCAGCCGCCCGACAAGCTAGTGGGCAAGTTCGCTGCGCCTGAGCGTTCTGCCAACGGGTTGTATCAACATTTTGACGACTCCGTGGCTTCCGTCAGCTTGTTTGCCCACGCCGGCGGGTCGTCTATGGTGTTACCTACCGTAGCTGGTTCTGCCGTCACTGGCAAAAGGCAGCAGCACCAACAATACCAACAACAGCAGTATCAGCAACACCAGCTCCAACATCGTGACTCTTTCGACAGCACCTTCTCTGCGCACACCACTGGTGGGAATAGCATGTCGGTGTACACGCCCCGTCGGGTAGAAAATATCATGGGCGAAGAAGATCGCAGGAAATACGAGCTTGCGCAGGCTAGCTCTGGACACTTGGTGGCGGGTAACCCTACCCGGGTCCTTGGTCCACAACAACAGGCTCCTCCTCCCGGCCAGGTTTACGAGTTTTCCGAGTCCGATCTGAGAAGAGCTGGGTATGATTATACCGACTCGGCGGCAGAGTATGTCGGACGGCAGGCACTCCCTCCCTCGCCGTCACCGTATCGTATGGTGGCAAGTAGTGATAGCGTCGAATCGGTTTCTGGGGGGTGGCCGGCTGCCTCTCCAAGTCTTACCCCCTATCAGGAGTATGGGTATGGGCAGCAAGGAGGGTCGTTCTCTGTGCCTATGCCGCCAGCTCCGAATGGAACGAATCATCAGCAACAACAACAACAACAACAACAACATCATAGGAGTCCTCTGGGCAGGGCGAGTTGGATGAGGACGTCAACTATGGATCAAGTGGAGAGTGAGATTGAGGTGTCACATGATGGTGGTTCTGATGCGCCTGGGCATGGAAGGAGAGGGGGGCAGGGGTCACATCAGAGATAGCTTTTGGTGAGGTGAGCTTTTGAGATGTTGAGAGAAGTAATGGGGCTGGATAGGTTGGGCAGGCTGGGTGCCACCCCTTTTCTAGGCTGTGTCTGGACATGGGTATGTCAACAGTGGGGTGGTTACTGGGACAACGGGCGACACTTGTTAGTTCGTATCATGAATTGCGAGGATGTTTTTGTATGTATTAGAATATGAGAATAGCCTAGATGGATCCGGATTTCGTGAGTATGACACAGATTCGGACAATAATAAATTGGTTGGATATTAAGGAAGCGTCTGGCAGGAAAAAGAACGGCGAAGTTGAGGCGGCTCGACATGCTCTCACTTCCATCTTGTACTTGGCAAGTAGAGCAAGTAGGGATTAAAACTTCGTGGCGGAAACCGATGATGGAAGTTGGGTAAGGCAAGTGTGGCGAGGTATGTTTTCAACCTTCAGAATCTGTTTACGATCCTTGGAAACATCACGAACCGAGTTGGCCACTTGGCTGGTGTGGCATTGTTTGGAACTCCCACGAAACTTCGTGAGGACGGGATAAGCCTTGCAAGACATGAATCTTGATATGCGATCGTAGTATACAACCGGCCAGAGCCCAAATTCCAAAACGGCAGCCAAGAAACCCAAGAATTGCGCCTGGATTAGAATTGGGTAATTGTTATGTACAAAGTACCACAGCGACAGTCTATGTGTCAACATGTCAAGATGCCTGATCTTGGGACATCTTGGCCTTGTGAATGAATGCCCTTTTGGGACCGTTCAATCGGCGAGTGGAAAACCTGGGCTGCTCCGGGAATGGACCCGCCGGTTGACGTGGGAGGCGAATTTGGAAAGTGAGGCTATCATGAATGAGGTTTTGAGCAGATTGCCAAACAGTGAGCGGTGAGAATTGGGAACTTTGCTGTGAGTCAATTGCCGCTTGACAGAAATCATGAAGTGCAAAACGCCGAAAGCTCAACACCAAGACAATTGGTTGAAGATATCGGTCTTGAAGATCGTTCCTGCCGAGCCTGCCAGCAATGATTGAGGTGCCGCCTAAGCCAAGACAGTTCTGGGTCAAGGGCAACCACACTGTTTGACTGTTGTCTTGTGGGCGGTGAGATGGGGCACAAGAGGTGAAAACCCAGACTGTGAAGATGAAAGTGGGATGATGGGCACACCTCCTTGGGGTGAACAGAGTGATAAGATATGTATCAGTACTTGGCACAGCTAACCCCACCTGCCTGGGCTCCATGCTGTTGGCAGTTTGCCTTGCAGCTGCCCCGGCCGCTGCTTGCCCTGAGTCCGGTGTGAATGACGTGCCTTGTAACGATAGGTATCCGCGCCTGCTACGGATAGAAAAGAAGACGGGAGTTCGAAAAGTGCTTCTCTCGCTGACTCCTGTCTCCTCAAGTTGTCATCGACACCCAAGGACAACAACCTAACTTACCGAGCTGACCAGACCTGTCCAGACCTGTCCTACACTACACTACAAGCAGTTGAAGGAGACGGGATCTTTCTTCAAAACATGACACAAGCCCGAGTTAATCAGGTCGGGATGACACCGCCAATAGGTAGGGCGATCCAATCGAGAAGCTTCTCCCAGCTTCTGGGGAAGGCTTGGCCCAGACTCGACCCCCCGGGGGCGGGGTTAGAGGGGCACATTTGGCAAGCTTCCAGTTGGGGGGTCCTCAAGGTCCCTGTAGCCCGAACGGATACTTGTTGCCCGCCCACGCCGTGCCTGCTCTCTGAGTCTCAGCGTCTCCAGTGCCGGTCGGGCAACATTTTTCGCTGATTTTTTTTCCAGTCTCCAGTTTAAGTTGCTGTGCTTGGCCTTACTCAAGGCTCCACCTGTCCCGCTTGCTGAGAGGGAATCCACTTTTTGCGATAAACTTCACGTCCAGTCTTGTTCTGCTTTCCACTTCTGTGACTTCAACGTTGAAACCTCTCCATATCCGCCCATTCTTTGCCTGTCGACGTCTCCCTTGATTGTCGCCAAACCTCCATATACCCCCCCAAACAGACCTTCTTTGTTGTGGTGAGCAAATCTCCAAAACGTCTTCTCGACATACAACCGCCTTCCTAGCGTCCTATCCTATCGACTACCCCTCCCTTCCCATTTTGAAGCCTCGAGGTGTCCCCCCATACCACCTTGATACTACTCGAAACACCACCACTACCACTACCACTATCACCACACGAGATAACCCCGAGAGAGAGAGACCAGTTTTATTTACACATAGCCTTTGCTTTTACAGTTCTTCATATCCAACCGCCACAATGTCTGTCGTCGGTATGTTACCATTCTTCCTCCCTTCTCAACTAAACTGTCGCCGGCCGCGATCCAGGATCAGAGAGCATGCGCTAACATGGGCCTTGCCAGGTGTCGATTTTGGCGCTCTTAATACCGTCATTGCTGTTGCCAGAAACCGCGGTGTCGATGTCGTACGTACCCTTTCCCAAGCTCGACCTTCCTCTGGCCATCGTCCCCAGCTCATCGCATAGACTCTGTCTCCAAGTGGAAGGGGAGCATGCTTTGCGCGGGGCGATAGCGCCTCCATACACGCAGTGGATGACGACCAAGTACTGACGAGCCTCTTATCTGACAGATCACAAACGAAGTCTCCAACCGGGCTACTCCTTCGCTCGTTGGCTTTGGCCCCAAGAGCCGGTATATCGGTGAGCCCGCCAAGACCCAGGAGATCTCCAACCTGAAGAACACCGTCGGCTGCCTCAAGCGCCTCGCCGGCCGCACTCTCGACGACCCCGATGTCGCCATTGAGCAGCAGTTCATCTCCGCCACCTTGGTCGACGTCAATGGCGAGGTCGGTGCCGAGGTCACCTACCTCGGCGAGAAGCGCAAGTTTTCCGCCACAGAGCTCATCGCCATGTTCATGAGCAAGATCAAGCAGACCACCCAGGCTGAGGTCAAGGTCGCCGTCCAGGAGCTCGTCTTGAGCGTCCCCGCCTGGTTCACCGACAAGCAGCGCAGGAGCATCTTGGATGCCGCCGAGATCGCCGGCCTCCGTCCCCTCCGCCTCATCAACGACACCACCGCTGCCGCTCTCGGCTGGGGCATCACAAAACTCGACCTTCCCGGCCCCGAGGAGAAGCCCAGGAGAGTCGCCTTTGTCGATGTCGGCTACTCCAACTACACCTGCTCCATTGTCGAGTTCAAGAAGGGCGAGCTTTCCGTCAAGGCCACCGCCTGCGACCGTCACTTTGGTGGCCGCAACTTCGACAAGGCTCTGCTCGACCATCTTCATAAGGAGTTCCTTGGCAAATACAAGATCGACATCTTCACCAACCCCAAGGCCGTCTGCCGTGTCCTCGCCGCTGCCGAGAAGCTCAAGAAGATCCTTTCTGCCAACCAGCAGGCTCCTCTCAACATCGAGTCCCTCATGAACGACATCGATGTCCGCGCCATGATCACCCGCCAGGAGTTCGAGGCCATGGTTGAGCCCCTCCTCGCCAAGGTCCACGTTCCTCTCGAGCAGGCCCTCGCCGACGCCAAGCTCACCAAGGACGATATCGACATCATCGAGGTCGTCGGTGGTGGCTCTCGTGTCCCCTCCGTCAAGGAGCGCATCCAGGCTTTCTTCGGCAAGCAGCTTTCCTTCACCATGAACCAGGATGAGGCCATTGCCCGTGGCTGCGCTTTCAGCTGCGCCATCCTCTCCCCTGTCTTCAAGGTCCGCGACTTTCAGGTCCAGGACATCATCAACTACCCCATCGAGTTCACCTGGGAGAAGGATGCCGATATTCCCGATGAGGACACCAGCCTCGTCGTCTTCAACAAGGGCAACGTCCTCCCCTCCACTAAGATTCTTACCTTCTACCGCAAGCAGCCTTTCGATCTCGAGGCCAGGTACACTAACCCCGAGGAGCTCCCCGGCAAGACCTCTCCCTTCATTGGTCGCTTCTCCATCAAGGGTGTTCATGCCACCGAGGGTCCCGAGGACTTTATGATTTGCAAGCTCAAGGCTCGTATCAACATTCACGGTATTCTTAACGTTGAGAGCGCCTACTACGTCGAAGACCAGGAGGTCGAGGAGGAGGTCAAGGATGAGAACGGTGATGTGAGTAATATTCTTATTAGTGAAAACAGGACGTCATCGGACAGTCCTACGAAGCGCCGTAAACTTTTCGACGGTTCAACGCAGTCTCTCGATGGTGGAACGCACGAAAATTTGGACGAGGAAAAGCTAACCCACGAAAAGGTTGTCATGGAAGGCGACAAGCCCAAGACCCGCAAGGTTAAGAAGCAGGTCCGCAAGGGCGAGCTTCCTGTCGTCAGCGCCACCCCGTCCCTCGACCCCGCCGCCAAGAACGCCGCCATTGAGAGGGAGCAGGCCATGATCATGGAGGACAAGCTCGTTGCCGATACCGAGGAGAAGAAGAACGAGCTCGAGACCTACATCTACGACCTTCGCAACAAGCTCGACGACCAGTACGCTGACCTCGCCTCCGAGGAGGAGAAGGAGAAGATCCGTGCTAAGCTCATGGAGGTTGAGGTATGTTATGATTTCCCCCCCTAAGCAAGTAACCAGCTGATACTAACCAAATTAAACAGGACTGGCTCTACGATGAGGGTGACGATGCCACCAAGGCCGTCTACGTCGCCAAGATCGAAGAGATCCGCGCCCTCGCCGGCCCCGTCGTCCAGCGCTACTTCGACAAGGTTGAGGCTGAGAGGCAAGCTCTCCAGGAGAAGCTCGAGGCCGAGAAGGCCGCCAAGAAGGCTGAGGAGGAGGCCCGCAAGGCCAAGGAGGCTGCCGAGAAGGCCGCCCAAGAAGGTGCCAAGGACGACGAGATGACCGATGCCGACGCTCCGAAGCCTGTCGTCGAGGAGGCTTAGAAAGTTGTAGACTCGAAGCAGAAGCAGGAGGAAAATGCCATGAAGTCAGAGTCGGACTCAGCGTCGGGGGCACCGACCCCCGCGTCGGAAGTCGATGATCAGACGCTGTCAGATCACGACGAATCGCCCAGGCCTGCCGCGGAGTCGACGGAGGCCGAGAAGGCGAACAAGATGGATATGACGGAGGTGGATTGAAATGAGATAATGACATGTTATGCCTACTCCAAGAAGAGAAAAGGCAAGCTTGTTAATGATGAAAGAAGAGAAAAGACCAGCATACCCAACTACACATACCCACTCATACTTTCACACACACATTCATATTCACGTTCACGTTTACATTATGTTTGATGTCATAACCAATTCAATTTGGAACTTCAGAGACTTTTTATGGTGTTCATATAGGTTTTATGTGTGTTTTTTCTTTTTTCTCTCTTGTTATGATGGTTGATTTCACGCACTTTGATGGGTAAGAAGGGGAGGACGAAAAAGATGGAAATAAAAGTTTCTTTTTGATACAGCTTTTTATAGAAGGAAAAGAATTTTAAAGAGAAATGTCCGTTTTATGACCACTGCATTGCACTCCATAACCGAATTTCTTTGGCATGTGGTACGGTTCTTTTTCTGGCCCTCACCCATCCGAACGTGCAAGCTCTCGCTATATTTCCGCGTCGAAAACAACAGAGAAAACAAATGATGAACAAGACACCACGCAGGCTTTATTTTCAGTTCTTCTATAGCTTTTATTTGGTTACAGTGTAGATTCCGGGGCTATCCCTTAACATGTAGTATCATTCTGTCGTATCGTTTGTTCTTCTCTGTATAAATTTCGTGTTAACAGATGATACTCTGATCTGCATATCTTCTTTTCAACAAAAGGCCTTGCTTGTAGTTTTGTGGTTGATTATACTATATTCTGAGCGTCTTTCGAAAGAAATCTAGGTTAATAGTAAGCGGTTGGAAAAAAAAAAAAAAAAAAGGAAAAAAAGGGGGGGGGAGGTAAGGAGAGAAGTGAAAAGAGAGGTGAAGACAGAGCTGGAATCATCTATCGAATCACACAACAAGCTTTCCAACAGCTTGTTCCTTTTTCCAATAGCTAGCAAGCAAGTAAGCAAGAAAACAAGCAAGCAAAGATGGGGCAGGCATATCATATTGATGCTATGCCGCCGCGTTGGTGGTATTCATCCGTCCGTCCGTCCGTCCGTCATAACATGACATGACATGATACGGCATGAGACGTTGCTAAAAATTGGATCGGATTGCAGGAGGAGGTGAGATGCTAAGACATTATGATAACGACAATACATTCTGGAGTGACTGAACAAAAAGGACAAGAGAAATCGCTGCATACCTAGTGCTTGCCACAACTGACTGAGTTCACCTTCATTAAACTACCTAGGTATGCTGGACTTTCACTACTTACCGTCAAATCGGTTTCATCAAACTAACTAGACTTCACTACCGCCAGACCGGTCCCATCAAAATGAGACATCTCCGGACAACGACGAGAACAACGACGACAATAACGACGACGACTACGACGACGACGACGATATAAACGAACAAATACCAGTACAGTAACCACTAACCCAACAAATCAATAATCCTTTTATGATACCTAGTGCAACTAAGAAAAAAAAACAAGTTCATAAACGTACATACAGACAGACATACTAGATTCCCCTCCTTCCCAAAGACCACACACACCAACCAGCAAATGCAGTAATTTTAGTGTTTCCATTCCATTCCCTTCCTTGCCTATTCCTATTCCTATTCCTCCCCCTTCACCATCCATATGGCATCACTCATTCTCCATTCTCTCCGTTCTCTCGACTAATTCTCATTTTTATCCATGTCCATGTCCATGTCCATGTATGCCTTTTGACTATGATGATGATGATAAGATTCCCATCCATCCATCTTTCTGGTTGCTTTACTACCCCCTCAACATCTCCACACACCCTCCCACCTCTGACCTACTTACCTACCACTTAGACAGTGGTTGTTGGTTTAAGCAATGTCAAACATGGGCTTCAACTTGATAATCAGCTGCCACTCATCGTTGGTCACGTCTTTGCGGTAAAACTCCTTGAGGCAGTTGATCGAGGCACGCGAGATCTTGGAGTAGAGCATGTCCTTCTCCTCGAGATGGCGGCCGTACGTGGGCTGGTTGCCGCCCATTTCGATCTTGATGGCAACGGAAGGTTGACCCTTTTTGCAGACGGGGATCTGCTTGTGGTCGCGCTCGATGGAGGTACTAGAGATTTGCATTAAGTAATTAGTGATCACGTCATGGATGGAGAGGACAATAAGGTGGAAGATAAAAACATACACTCTACCGAGATCGATGACCTCCCTAGCGCCAGTAACGGGGTTCGTCTTGACGGCGGAAATGGGCGTGTTGATCTTCAGCTGACCCTCAACGACATCGACACCGATAACAATGGGACCAGACTTGTTGAAGACGGCAACGGGAGAGAGCACGCAAGGGAAGACAGCGAGGAGCTTGGACTCCTCCTTCTTCTTCTCGAGCAGCTCATCCATGTGCTTGGTGAACGAGTCGAACAAGTGGTAGATAATGTCGGCAGTGAAGATCTTGACGCCCTGCTGGTCGGCATACTCCTGCGCTTCCTTGTCGACCTTAACGTCGAAGCAAAGCATGACGGCATAATCGGGAGCCTTCTCCAACATGATACCGCACTGCATGACATCGCGCTTGTAGACGGGACCGATACCGACGTTGGCGACGGGGATCTTGCACTCCTTGAGGAAGTCGAGCAAGGCCTCGAGCGAACCAAGGGTGGAGGCCTGGACGGAGACACCGCGGCCGGACTTTTCGACACGGCTGAAGAGCGAGGCGAGATCGGCCTCGACCTCGTCCTCGAGATCGTCCTCGTCATCATCGGGGCCGACGACTAGCAGACGGGAACCGGCAATGGCACCCTCGAGGCCAGGGGCGGAGATCTTGACACCCAAAGCGGCCTTGACTTCCTTATTGTGAACGTACTGCGACTTGAGGCGCAGTTCCCTGAGCGGCGCGGGCGTGAGCAGGGCTCTGATATTGGTTTTGATGACGCCTTCTGTACCACATAGGATAATGCGGTCGCCTTCCCTGAGGATACCGTTGGTGAGAATGACATCGATGGTCATACCGAAACCCTCAATGGCCTTGACTTCGAGAACGGTAGCCTGGACCTCGGAGAGGTACATGAGAGAGCCAACCATGCGCTCCTGGGTGAGTTGAACAATGAGCTTCAGCATGTCGGGGATACCCTCACCGGTGTGGGCAGAGGTGGGGACCAAGGAGACGAATTTGGCCATGGACTTGTTCTGGTAGAAGAGCTCCGAGTTGAAACCCTGCTCGGCGAAGGCGAGCTTGGTCTGCTCGAGACGGTTCTTGAACTCGTTCTGGACAGCCTTGTTCTGGAGGGCCAACGACTCCTGGAAGCCGTTGTTCTCGATCTTCTTCCAGCCGTAAAGACGATCGATCTTGTTGAGAGCGACGATGAAGGGCGTCTTCCTCTCACGGAGGAGTCTCATGGACTCCAGAGTCTGAGGCTCGAGACCGTGCATGATATCGACAACCAAGATGGCGATGTTGCAGAGCGAGGAACCACGCGAACGCAAGTTGGAGAAAGACTCGTGACCGGGGGTATCGATGATAAGAAGACCGGGAACCTTGAACTCGAACTTGCCGTCCCTGTTGACAACCTGCGTCTTCTGCTTGATGGCCTCAACGGGGAAGTAAGTGGCACCAATCTGCTGAGTGATACCACCAGCTTCGCCCTCCTGGACGTTGGTCTGACGAATCTTGTCGAGCAGCTTCGTCTTACCAGTATCGACGTGACCAAGAATACAGCAAATGGGAGAGCGAAGGTTGTCCGCAGACCTAGCAGCCAGAGCGGCCTGGTGAGCCTTCTCGCGACGCTCGGCAGCCTCCTTCTTCCTCCGGGCCTCCTCCAGTTCCCTGGCGGTAGCCTCCTCGTCTTCAGAAGATTCCTCTTCAGATTCCTCCTCAGACTCGGACTCGGACTCGGACTCCTCCTTCTTGGCCTGAGCCTTGCCGTTGGCCGCAGCAGGCTTAGGAGCCTCCTTCTTGGTCTCCTCCTCCTCGTCGGAGTCGGCGTCCCAGCTGTCCTTGACATCCTCCTTGTCAGAGGCAACAGCGGCCTCCCAGTCCTCGTCGACGCTGTCCTCAGCGGCGGCCTTGGCGGCCTCAGCCTTGGCAGCAGCCTCCTTCTCGGCCTTCTCGCGCTCGATGCGGGCCTTCTCCTCTTGCTCCTTGGCCAGAGCCTCAGCGGCGAGTCTTGCGCGCTCAGCGGCCTCGGCGAGAGCCTTTTCCTCGTCCTTCTGTAGCAAGCAGACTGGTTAGCGCCGTCCATAGTAGACCATAATTGTAATAAAAATTCCGGACAGACTCACCTTCTTGTTAGCAGCCCTCTTCTTCTTATCGTCGTAGACAGGCTTCTTCTTGGACTCTTCACCCTCGAGCGCGTTGACCTTGATACCGGCCGCCAACATCTGCTGCAGCTTCCTCTCGTTGCGGGCCTTCTCTTCCTTCTGGGCCTTGGTCATGAACTTGCCCTCCTTCTTGAGCTGCTCGATCCTCTGCTTCTCCTTCTCCTTCTTGCGGGCGCGCTCCTCCTCCTTGCGCTTGGCCTCCTCGGCAGCGGCGCGCTCCTCCTCCTCTATCCTGGCCTTTTCCTCAGCGAGGAGCCTAGCCTCCTCCTCTTGGCGACGGCGCAGTTCCTCCTGCTGCTTCTGGAGGGCGAGCAGGTGGGCGGGGAGCTTCTTCTTCTTGCCACCGGCGGCTTCGGGGGCGGGAGTGGAAGCGGGGGTCGAGGCGGGGCTGGGGGTTTCGGCCTTCTTCTCCTCCTTCGCGGGCTCGGCCTTGGCGGCGGCGGCGGGTGTGGTACCCTTCTTCTTAGCAGCAGCCTGTGTAGTGTGCAAGAAGTTGTTGTTAGTCTTCAATTCGTTCTGATATATGTGTAGTCACTAGTGGGTAATAGTGATGATGACTGGGTACTCACCTGCTCCTTCTTGCGCTGCTTCTCACGCTCCTTCTTGAGCTTCTCCTTCTCGGCCTTGGTCAACACCCTAGGGCCATCCTCATCGGCAGCATCCTCATCCTTCTTGGCGGCGGCGGCGGCGGCGGGAGCAGCCTTCTGTTGCTGCTGCTGCTGCTGCTTGCCCTTGCCACCCTTGCCCTTCTTGTCGGGGAGAGCGAACTCGTCGTCGAGGTTGGCCTCCTCGGCGACCTTGGCCGACAGATCGGGGACGGGCTCGGCGGCAGCGGGCTTCTCGGCGCCAGGAGCGTCCTCGCCCAGCTCGGCCTCCCAGTCGTCGGCAAGACCCTTCTTCTTGCGCTTCTCCTTGGCCTTGCGCATTCTCTCCATCAGACCGCCACCACCGGAAGCGGCCTCGTCATCGGCGGCAGCGGGAGAGGCGGCGGCACCAGCATCGGCGGCGGCGCCATTGTTGACGGGGGCGATGGACTCGCCCAGCTCGGCCTCCCAGTCATCGTTGGCCTTCTTGTTTCCCTTCTTCTTGGGCGCCATGTTGGGCTAACTGGACTGTTGGTAGTCGACCGGGGAATACCGTAGGATGGGTGGGGAGAGGATCCTGATGGGCTCTCCTTCTCTCCTTGTGACGAAAGTCGAAGTCCGGGTGAAGACCTCGTTGCTCGTTAGGTGGTTCTGGTGGTGGGTTCGTGGGGCGGCCGACTGGGGCTACTGGGCCGTTATATGCGATATGGCTGGCTGCTAAAGAATGGCAGGCGGCGTACTTTTTTTGGTGCTGTAGGTCCCCCCTTGTCGACGGGATAGGGCTTGTCACTTTTCGGTGGTGGTGGTGCTGCAGAGTGGATCGATGGTAGGTACTTAGCACCGTGGATCTTTTTTTTTCGTTGTTCTTTGTGTCGAATCCCGCTCTGGTTTGTTGCTAGAAGTCGGGTACGTACCTATCTCAGTACCTGTACTTACACACTACTCTCTGCTTTGCACCACTTTCTTTCAGCCTGTATCAAGTGTTTGGTATTGTCTCCTTTTACGGTCAAAAACGGCAATCATGTCCCGTTTTCTGACTCAATACCAAGTAGTCGAAGTTACAAAGTCAAAGGAGTCTCGATTCAGTAGAAAAAAATCCAGACAAGGATCGCCACTCGAAACTTTTTTTGGCCAGAGCCAGGAGGTGTCGCTATGACCAGACCTTTGACTGCACAGACGGTTGGAGACTAGACAGCAGTCAAGACAGCCTGAGATACAGAGCAGTGGTGCAAAAGCTCCTGCACTCCTGTGTACAGTGACCGACTTGTTAGTGCAGAATGCGGGGCAACTGGTCGCACTGGGCATAAACCACAGGTGGGACACTTGCTGGGCTAATTTCTGTGTTTACTTCCTACCACTTTGGTGTATTTTGTACCATATTCCATCCAAGGGGGGCAGGCCAACTCCCTCACCTTGCCATGGGCATTTCACTAACCATATATTGCTAATGATGTTGTTTATCCACTCGTCTATACTGTAGCAAGGCCACCAAGGCATTTCTCAAGAGAGCCTTTAGACCAGTAGTAGATCAAATGTTCGTTTATTACCTTCCTTCCCCTCAGAATCCCAAGCACTCAATAGACTTGCCTAAGATAATACATCAACACGTTATACCCCAGCTCAAAATACTGGTCCGCAGTGCCCTCGCCCATCCACTCAGCAGTGTGTATGCCCCCATCCAACTTATCCAACAGGCTCTTGAACCGTGCCAACAGCTCCTCCGTATTGATCAGCTCTTGCAACACTTCCGCATCCAAGAGTGTTTTCAGCAGATCACCATCCACATGCAACGGCTCAGTGTACCCCAGGTTCGGCTCCGCATGCAGCAGCTTTTCCTCGTCTCTCCTCCCCCTGAGGTTATACAAATTGACAATGAATCGCAACAGACGCAACGCGTGCTGATCAAGTAGCGTAAAGTGATACATGGTGCCGTCCATCGCTATTCCCATTATCTCGGCATCGTTCGGTGTGCTGATGAGCCGACCGTACTTGGGTGCGTTCCAGGCTCCTTGCTCCCATGTTGGCCGTGTCCTGCCGCGCCGGAACTTCCTGATACTAACAGGAAGCGTCCCTTCGAAGAGCACCCTGAACTCAGCCCAGTTATGGGTCCCTGGTGTTCTGGACCATTGCCAAAGACCGGCCACACCACGGTCTTTATCAGCAACCAGGAATACGTTGCTTCCAATTTGCATCGACGACATTGGTACAACGTTGCGAGGATCGTGGAACTCGAGTGTTGCAGAGTTCTCAATGACGTCGTCAAGCGCCGGATCGATCATCTGGAGCGAATCGTCCCACGTCAAAGCGAGGAGCTTAGTCTCGGAGATGTGAAGCTCCAGAGCCAACGAGCCCAAGTCAAACACTTTGCGTGGTTTCAGCTTCTTCTCGACAGGGTCCAGCACATCCCAGTGGAGTACTTGGTCGACGCAATAGATCACGCTCTCCTCATGTCCTATCACTGAGTAGACCGGTCCATCGCAGTTTTTCTTAAATCGTGTCCAGTATTTTATCGAAGGTGAGTGGTCCCCGTTCAATGGCTCCTTTTCCGTCGACACGATAATGAGCTGGCCTTGTTTGGTACCAACAAGGAGATAGCGCCACGTCCCGTTATTCTTCTTGTACTCCCACTCGGCCAGACCATAAATTCGGTCGTCAGGTTTACCCAGCCCAACAATATACTGAACAGGAGTTCCTGCTTTGTGGATCGGTCTCCCAATGTCCTTTCCCGTGTCAGGATCCATGAACATCAGCGTCGACTTGGTTCCCTCCTCATTGACACCGACCACCAGGCAACGCAGGTTGGGTGAGAAAAACGTCTTGACTGGTGTCTTCCCAATCGTGATATATCGATGAGCTGGACCAGGCTCCTGGTGTAGCTCGGCGATGATTGCACTCGACCCCGCCAGCATGAGAATCGGGGTAAATCCTTCACTCACGCACGGAATATCGATTGCCACGCCGTACTCTACGAGTGGTAGAGGAGCACCCAGATCGCCTGCGTTGACAGGCATAACACGGTGTTTTGCCAAGTCATGGACAGAGCCATTCGGCCCATGCTCATCGAGTTGTACTTCAATCAGGACTTGATCACAGGAGACCAGCACTCTCGGTCTCGCGGTCTGACAATGTCGGGCCGCAGTCACGTTCACCGCGGTTAGTCCGAGTTGCTGGTAGTAGGCCATTGTAGAACCTTTCCACTCTTTCGAAATGTGAATGAGCTCTCCGCCTCTGGTTCCTAGAAGTATCGCGTTATTGACAGAAGCTATGCTCCCGATTGCTTTGAGAGGCACGCCATCTCGATATCCGCTAAATCCAGCCGATGTCACAAGTCCTATCAACACATCAGTATAGTGGAAACCAAAGCAGGAGGCAGTATGGGATTGAGCTGGCCCAGATGTGCTGGGTCAACCTTACGTTCTGTAATATCAATTTCCTCAATATCTTGTGTGTCGGTTTCAGTCGTTGGGGTGCGGATGAGCAAATATGGACGTCCGTCCTTCCAAAGACCGACAATGATCCCAAGGTTTTGGCTGTGATGTAGCGAAGTCACGTCCCCAGGTACGTCGAACTGGATTTGAGAAACAACTGCTGTCCCATAGAACTTGAAACTGTAAATTCTGAACTGCGGCCCAACATGCGTTGAGACAGTGATCCAGTCATTCGTAACGTAAGCGTCCGACACTGATACCTGCGGCTGATCCGGTAGAAGCTTGTCAAAAGACAATCGGGTCCTGCAATGTTGTTAGTATAACTCATACCCGTGGGCTTGGGAGCTTCGTACCACTCGTCTGTACGAGACTGGGCCTCGTTCTTGAAGAGTGTGATTGAGGCGGTGGTCACTTGGACAGTAACCCCATTTACCTGCGCCACAGCCAAAGTGGGCGAAGACAAGTCGTAGAGGACCTGGTCGGGTTCCGGATCTGTTAATTCTGAAAAATCATCTGGCAGTTGCCAAACCTTTGACCGAGTAGGGGTAGTCCACAGCAGGTCGTAACGCCCATGTGTATTGGAGAAGTTAAGAAGCCAGGCTTGTTTCAGCCCCTCCTCAAGCTCGAGCTCCAATCCAATGTCTGCTCTAAGTCCATGCCGGTATTCAGTGATACAACCTGTCAGTCCATGACCAGAGGCTGCAAATATCCTGTCAGGTGCTCTAAGCTGCCCGTCATTCGACGGTGCAATGCTCGTTCCAAAGGAGTCAGGGGCCTTCTCTCCTGAAGAGGGACTATCAGTCGTCGCGAAATCTAGGGTGGGGGCACCACTAGGTAAGGTGCCTATCCGCAATGGGTGGTCTCGTGGGGGGATCTAAAATAACGTCAGTCAAAGACACCAAAGGCGAGGCTGATTCTGCAAACCTTCCAAACACTCCCCGTGCCGTTATCGCTGCCCAGCACGAGAACATCTGCATACTGATCAAACAAGTAGGCGAATGCCGACGATATATTGCATTTGAAGGCATCAATGAAGGTCGAACGCTCCAATGCATGATCTTCATCGACTTCGATGTAGACAACAATGCCGTCCTCTCTGGCAAGGTATAAGCAGTCTTTGCCTTTGAGATAACGTGGCAATCTATATGGCCTATCCCAGGCTGTCCACAACGGTTTTCCAGTACCATAGTAATTTGGGCTCTTCGGAGGTGCCTCAAGTTCCAAAGTATCGAATCTGGGCGGGCCGTGCAAGCATTCGGTGCACACAGCAACCTGTTCTGGAGAGATGGCAATGAAAGCTGATCCGACGGTCAAGGGAATGAGAAGTTGAGGCATTTGGTTTTCGACTGGCAATCGATGGCCACGCTTCTCTTCGGCAAAGACAGTCGCAAGGTCATCCCCCAACGTCCATTCGTAAATAACCATTCGTGATTTGCCATTGTTGACGACAATGAGCAGAAGGATGATGTGATCTTTATCTTCTGGCCGTGGGTACAGAAAAGTGAGGCTTTGTATGACGCCTTGAACGCTCCGCAATCGCCAGCTCTTGACTATCTCCACAGTGTTTTCGTCTTGTGGTTGAGTGAAATTGGCGAGAGACTCGAGCTCACCTACGGCAAAGAGACCGTGATAGCTACTCAAGGCCATGTAACGCGAGCTTGGATCTACAGCCATGTGGGCTCCGAAATTGCCGTTCAGAAATTGTGGAGGCCGTCTAAACAAGAATTGGGTAGAACTGTAAAACTCAGGTCGGCCGCCGTCGACCCCTGGGCCAATCCAGAGGAAGACGACATCGGCATTTTCCATGGCCAGTGCAAGCAACTGGGGCGGCAGCTGAGACGTCGAACCAGACGGGGGCGACGAGTGTACGTCCTGGTCCTCCATTTTCACGGGGGTTTCAATGTCCATGGCAGGATTGAGGTCGTCGACGCCATCCGGAATATCGAAAGAGCCAACCACACAGGCGTTGCGAATATTGTGTGGGAATCTGCGGAAGAGTATGTCTCGGAACTGGCCGTTGCTTTGAAATTCGCGGATTTGGACAGAACGATGCTGGGGAACAGGTCAGTACCGTCAACCGAAGTCTAGAACATTCAGGTTTCAACAACTTACGCCTATAAAGGCAACATCGTTGTGATGAGGCGATCTGAGCCTTACGGGCAGCACCGACTTCACCATCTGGCTATCCGCCATGGTCCTTGTGAGTAGTCCGCATACTGGAGTTTCAGTCTGCTCTACTCTCTTTGGACCTTGCGCAGGCTTTGCCTTGAGAATGGTCTGAATGCTGACTGTCTCGGTGACCCATTCGCCATTGCGGAGGACATTGGTTCTGAAGGTAGCCATGTTGGTGAAATTAGGCTGATCAGCGCCTTAGTAGGATGTGCTCCGTCACGGGTCGGCCGGCTCGGAAACGTGCAGTATTCAGCCTAGTGGAGGGGTTAGTTTCTGGTTAAAATGCATATTTCTGGGTCAAGGGCCTCTCAGATAACGATATGTTGATCTGAGGCTATTCTAATGAGGACATGAATGTCAAAGGAGAAAATGATTGGGTTTAATGGGAAAAGGGCAGCGCAGTGTTCAAATAAGTACCTTGAGCAAAAACGGGGGCAAAAAAACAACAATTAAAAAAAGAAACAAGACAGCTGCCTCTCTGCAGAGAACAAGCTGGCGCAAGTCTCAGTGATGGAAAGAAAAAGACCCCAATAAAAAGGAATGTAAGATGTCGTGAAGTATCGACTCACCTTGGGCTGTAGGTTGTACCACCTCTCCAGGCTGCACAGACATAATAAGTGTAGTAGTAAACAGGCGGGAGCAAGTGAGCGTTGCCAATGGTATTTACCTACCCAGGCAGTGGCCGCTTTACCACCGCAATCAGAATACCTACGGCGAGAAGTCTGTGGAAAGACGATGTGATGCCGCCGTCTATTTGTACAGTAGCTGCCGCAGTGCAAAGAAGCGGCAGTAACCCGAGAGACAAACAACTGGTGTACAGCAGAAAAGAAGAGAACAGACAGCAAAGTCCCGATTCTGCACTATCGACAACTGACCGGCTGAAGTGTTGATAGATTATTCATGTTGAAAGAGATTGATGGAGAAAGGTTGAAGGTGGGGGTGAATATGGTAGAAGCTGTGTTGTTAGTGCAGGTACTCTATCTGAGGCAGAAGTAATGAAAGCTCCAGGCGGCTAGATAGGTAGTGCAGGTGGTGGGGCAGGGCAACTTTAAGCAGGTGGGTTTGGCTGTTTTCGTGATGCCCTGCGCCTTCCTTCGGCAGACATTAACATGTAAACAACTGAACCTCTAAGAATTGGAGGTCACAATGCTGTGACACCAATCTCAAATGTACCGAACGTGAGAGATGATGGACGAGAATGGTTGATTGACAGGTCTCAAACCCCAAGAAGAGATATCAGATTCAAGGCAAGGCAATTGCTGCAGCCCGAGATGGACCAGCGTCCAAGACACAATTCCCATGTTCCACGCCCGCCCCATTGGGTTGGGTTGCTACAACAGCCGCGAGATGTACCAGGGCAGAAGCTACAATGAAGCACCCTTCTACCTACATACAAGAGCCATTCCCACTCTACCTAATATGGAATGGAGATCACGTCTTTGTTCTTACAGACCCGACACCATTGATGGAAGACCTGAGATGTACATCGATAGGGTAGGCGCGGGGCAGCAGTCCAGTTAAGGTTTATCGGCAACCGCGGAACCTTGGATCTCGGGTTGTCCTCTCTTACGGCGCCGGTCCACACATGCTGTATCGAACCTGATCCACTGTCCAAGACACCATTCGCCCTATGACACAGGCGCACGTTGCCTGTGCTGCACTGGAGAGCTCCTCAACGCTAACAGTTTTCTTAGCATGGATGCCCTAAAGTTCCAACAGTACATTCTTAAAGGTACCTACACTACAACCTAACCTCGCCCAAAGTCAACAACATCCATCACATGTCCAGACTTGGAAGCCCAACTCTCCACAGATACAGCATCACCATCTGAAAGTCCAAACCGTCTGGAGATATATAAACATAACCGATCAAGTCAAACACTCACAACGACGTCACTCATTCAACGTTGACAGACTCACCTTGTCTCGCTGTCAGCAGTTGCATAGGTAAGACTCCTACCCATCTTTTCTCTCAGGGGCAGACTACTAACCGAAATACAGGTCCAACATTACGAAACACGCAAAAATTTCTAGATCTGGACGAGCTCAGGTCTTGAGGTCTTCATTCTCTTTTCGAGACCTTAAATACCTAGGTAGTAACCGGGCACCATATTTACTGTTCCAGTCAACAACCAGTCCCGGTCCAGTTAGAGCCCTCCAGCAGAATGTCACAGATGGACAGCAGCTCAAGTGAAAGCGGTGGTTCTCTTTCAGAGAAGGAGGAGAAAGTCATCATCGACCCATTCTTCACCGAGAAGGAATCCGCCATCCTCAAAGCATGTTCCCAACGAGACCTCACCAAACTCCGTGAACTCGCCGAATCTCGAGGGGGTTTCCTAACCGACGAACTTCGTCAACAAGCATGGCCCATCCTCCTCGGCCTTCCCCCAAAACATCTCGATGAAGACTCCTCGTGGGAATCCCTCCCCCCACATCAAGACGAAGACCAAGTCCAACTCGACGTCGACCGGTCCTTCACCTACTACCCCTCCCACACCACCGACTCGGCCCGCTCCTTGCAAAAATCCCTTCTCTCCTCGCTCATCCTCTCCGTCCTCCGCCGGCATCCCTACCTCCACTACTTCCAAGGCTACCACGACATCTCCCAAGTCCTTTTACTCGTCCTCCCCGCCCACCTGCGCTCGCCCGCACTCGCCCGCCTCTCCGCCCTCCGCATCCGCGACTTCATGCTTCCCAACCTACAAGCAGCCATCGCCCAACTGCGCCTCATCCCCGACATTCTAAGGGTATCCGACCCGCCTCTCTGGCGGCACCTATCAGGAACCGAACCCTTTTTCGCCTTGTCCGGGACGATAACCATGTACGCCCACGACATCACCACCCTCGGAGAAATCACCCGCTTGTTCGATGTTTTGTTGGCGAGGGAACCCGTGTTTAGCGTGTACATGTTTGCTGCGATCGTCAGGTCGCGGAGGGAAGAGCTATTTGAGACGCCGGAAGATGAGCCGGAGATGTTGCATTCGATTCTGTCCAAGCTGCCGCAGCCGCTGGATCTGGAAGGGTTGATTGGCGATACGGTGGCGCTGTTTGAAAAGTATCCACCTGAACGGCTGCCGAGTTGGCGGTGGGGGATTTCGGGGTCGAGTGTGCTGAAGACGGCGAGAGAGGGGGACAAGAATAAAGGGGCGACTGGGCAGACGATGGAAGATGGAAAGAGGTTTTTTGAGAGGCAGGTGAGGGAGTTGTTGTGGTTGGAGAGGAGGGACAAGGCAAGGAAGTGGATGTGGAAGAATAGGAGGCCGGTGAGGACGTTGGGGCTGGCGGTTTTGGTGGGTATTATTGCGATATTGCTGAGGAGGGCGCCGGGCGGGCCGATGGCTTGGGTCATGGGGGTTGTAAATCGGTGGTGGTTGACGTAGATGGGAGGTGAAGTAGAGCATCATCATGGAAATGGAACTTGTAAAAGCAGTAGACCACCAAGGGCGAGGATTGCTGTGAAACAACTGTCATAAACGTGGATACCCAGAACTCGAGACGTCAAGCTCTTTGAAAGAATTAAGTTACTTCATTATGCCAAATCTGTTGTATGTACAAGGCAGGAACCTTCCCGACCGAATATTTTCTCTAACTATTGGCCCGCATACCAAAAACCTCTAGATATTCTCTTGTACGCTCGCCTTAAGTGACTCAAAGTGGTCCTGTTGTTCCGTCGCAAGCTTGCCGCTCACATCGCTAATGATAGTCAAAATCAAGCTGTAATTATTATACAGGAACCTGTCCCGTTTTCTCGCATCCGCTCCCAGTTGCGCCTGGCTATACTTGGCCAGGAACGCCTCCACCTCGATACGCAGTCTGTGTAGACTGCTGACGATCGGCTCATCATCCCCTGCTTCGGTACTCAGGGCAAGCACGCCGTGAAGGAATTGCCCGAATCGCTGGGTTACGACGTGCGGAGCCGCCGAGGCTGTCTTTGCTTGGGAAGCGGACCCGGCCTTGTTGGGGAGCGCAGAAGTCAGAGCCTTGACTGATTCGCAATGGGCGTCCATGACGCTCTGCAGACGTGGCCACAACACCATAGCGGTGCCGTTGATGTAGCCATCTACAACGGGAATTCGGCGCCGTTGTAATTCAAAGGCAAAGTGCTGGTTCAGACGCACGCATAGCAGTAGACCGAGTCCGTCATATGTGTCTGACACAAGCTGCTTGGTGAGGGCTTGCCCAAGGGCAAAGGTCGGATCGAAGATGTAGTTGAAGTGGCGCGAGACGACCGCAAGCGATAGCGCCGGGCTGAAGAAGGACACGAGAAATGTGTACTCTGCCGTGGCGTTGTCGACCAGGGCAAGGTTGAAGTTGCGAAACGGAACCTCAAGATAATGTGTGGTCTGGTCCTCGTCGGCCAGGTAAGATGACATGGCTATTTGATCCTTAGTCTTGAGCAATTCGTTCCTTCGGCCGATGCTAAAGGCGTCATGGGGCACGCCTCCAAGCTTGGATCCAGACAAGACAGTCGTTCTTCGAGAAGTGTCCTCGTGTCCCATTGCGTCGTTTTTATCGATAATGTGTAGCTTCAGCTTGTCCAAGGACTGTTTGTAGCGGGTAAACTGGTTCACGTAATACCACCGCATGGTGTTCATATAGGCCTGACATATCTCGCCGGCGAGTGTGGGTTGATGTTTTTGGAGGAACGCGAATAGATCCTTGAACCGGAGGAAATTCTGCTGTTGAATGATCTGGGCGTTGATGTGAGGCGACCGCATTGCTTTGATTTGCGCAACCAAGAAGTCCCGTATGCGTTCAATAGCCTTTCAGAAAAATGTGTTAGAAACAGAACTGCCAGATCCCAACAACAATCCTTACCTTGAGGATGAGCTTTTCCAGCAATGGACCGACATCAGCCAAGGCTTTGCTCTGTGGTTGTTGCGCATTCTTCTTATGAGCCATGGCTCTCTTGTCCACTTCGGCCAAGACCTTCACCCATGTTTCGTCGATATGACCTTCGACAATCGTTGTTATTACGAGAGGAGAGACGCTCAGCTCGTCCACCAAGGGTCCCAAACCCTTTTCTACAGCCTTTCGGTTTTCCAGTCTCACATTAAGAGCTTGGGATCGCGCCTGGAGGCTTTCAATATCAGCTGACACAGCAGCTAGGTCATTGCGAAAGTTGGTGAGGTTGGATTCAACGGAGCTCAGGATGTCATCGCATGCGCGGATGGACCGATGTAGGTCCTCGAATTTGGCCTTGTCTCGCTCATCTGGAAAGCACTTTATAAGCATGGATGGAGAGCAAGACACGGTAGGAGCAATAAGGTGGCATCGTACAATCTTGAACACTTTGGGGCTTGTAGTTGTCAACTTGGCGCGAACTGACGTCAGGGCCGGCGAGCTCAGTCAGGGTCAAGCCGCCAAAGTCAACGTCAAAGTCCAGGTCATCTTCGGTGATGCCGCTGGCCGGCTTCGCCTCCGGTTGTTGTGTGGTATTGCTACTGGGAAACTGGCCTAGAATCCTAGCCAGGACCTCTTCGGGATCTGGCGCATCGTCCACGGTAGAGGACTGCCTCAAGGAGGAGCCATTGACTTTCTTGGCCGAGGCGAGGAGGGAAGACGACGAGTCGTTCGAGACCAGAGACAATGCAGAAGACCCTCTTGTGTTCAGTCCAGGCCTCTGGGGGGCAAGATATGGACCGCGCGAGCTGGTGCGTTGGGGCAGCGGCGAGACGGAGCGGTTGTTCGGCGGAGGAGCTGCGCTTCCTGGATGCTGGCCGGGACGTCGATCAAGCCACATAGCGAATCAAGCACCGCCAGAGACGAGGCGACGCGAGGAGCATGCTGGTGCAAGCAGGAAATCGATATGGAACACTCGAAACGGTTGTCGTTGTCTTCTGTCATATGCCGATAAACGTGGGACTTGGGCGATTCCGTTGTCGCTCTCCGTCGCAGCTTGGTTCAGTTTATCTCCAGGAGACCCTTGGAATCGTCGAATGCGCGCCAGCTCGGCTTGGCATGGAAGTGGAAGTGGAATGATGGATGCCCTGAGAGTTTTAGCAGCAATTGCCTGGCAGCAGCAGCAGCAGCAGCATCGACGGGCACCTAGCTGGGTCCAGGGCACCCGACACAAGGCTGGCCAGGCTAGCCCTCTGCCCTCCACCAGATGGTGAGGGTTACAGGTTATGCATGCAATCTGATTGGTGAATTCGCTCCGCCACCACTCACAGCGAGCGGGTCCCGTGCCAGATATTGGAGCTTTCCCGCATATTGCCTAGCCTGGCCGCTTTAGCCAGACATAAGGCGGGGCGGGAGAACTGACCTCTTCAGTTCCGCGACACCACAAGAGGAGAGATCGATCACGATCGCGGGTGCAGAACTCTACATCGATGCATGCCATTTGTACTCGGATGTTTTTGCTCAGAAGGGGATGGCTAGGTCATGACCATCCATGAGACGACCAGGGGCCAAGATATATATTCAAGACTATCTAGTAAAGACATATGTAAAGGCACTCGATGCTGACTTCAGTTGTCGAGAAACTCAAACAAGTAGGAGCTTGTTGTGTAACTAAACAGCGGGGTCGAGTTTGCGTGTACCGGTCAGTCAGGAGAGCCGGGGAAAGACTGGAGAAATCTTGCTTGGTCTCTGATGCAGACTGACTGACTGACTGACTGACTGCAGACCCAACAGTCGTAACAGACAACCTTCTGAATGGAGTGAGGAGACACGCAACCAAAGATGGAAAGGGTGGGCGGGAGCGAAGGGGACGGGGACTGGACTGGAGGGTTAGAGGTGAGCACTGTTTTAAAATGTGGCACGTGAGGAGGGTTAAGTGAGGGTTAATGCAGCAAGCAAGCAAGCCCAGACTCCCGTCGTTGGCCAATTTGTTCCAACAACTGAAACCTCTCAGAGGCAAAAAACTGACTCTGCGGACTGCGGTGCCCGCCCTGGGCCTTTGGGTGCAAGTTCCGTTGTGTGTGCCATGCCAGTGTGAGAGTTGTGGGTGCTTCCCACCAGGTGGCAGGGAGGAGGGGCCTTTCCTGACTGGACCACTGGCGGGGATGCTGCATTTTTTCGTCCCTCTCGACTCCCGTGCTCAAAATCGCTTTTTTTCCTTTTTCAACTCCCTCTATATTTTTCCTCTCCCCGTGCCGCCTCCAGCGTCTTGATCCATCATCTTCTGTCTCTCCTTGCCCTTTCGACGGTTTATCCTTTGTCAATCCTTTCAAGATGTCTGCCGCCCACGACGACGCTGTAAGTCCATCTCCCGCCTGTTACCGCGCCCATTCACAATCATCGTCACACACTTCATTATGCCCGGTGGTCGCTTGCGGGCGGCGGCTGTCTGCGTGGGCAGACTCGTCACCCCGCATCGCTCTTCATCGCCCGACCCCCTCTCGCTCCTCCGGTGGTGTTTTTCCTTGGACGGGAATGGCTTCTTTTGATCGCCTCACGCACGAAACCCGAATCGCACCATCTCTCACCTGATTACCCATCGCAATAGCCGCGTCCATCAGCAACAAAGAGGCATTGGGTGCTAACCAACATGTCCCCATATATAGCAGCATGAGCACACCTTCGACTCCGTCGACGCTGGTGCGTCCGCCACCTACCCCATGCAGTGCTCTGCTCTGCGCAAGGGTGGCCATGTCGTGATTAAGAACCGTCCCTGCAAGATCGTCGACATGTCGACCTCCAAGACCGGCAAGCACGGTCACGCCAAGGTCCATCTCGTCGCCATCGATATCTTCACTGGCAAGAAGCTCGAGGATCTCTGCCCCTCCACCCACAACATGGACGTTCCCAACGTCAAGCGCACCGACTACCAGTTCGTACGTACTATCTGGACGCCCCCGAGATTGCTGGGTCCGGAGCTTAGAAGCTAACTTTGTGCAACAGTCCTACATCGACGAGGACTTCCTTGTCCTCATTGACTCCAACGGTGAGGAGAAGCGTGACGTCAAGATGCCCGAGGGTGAGCTTGCCAAGCGCATTGAGAAGCTCGAGGAGGAGGGCAAGGACTTCTGTAAGTTTCCCCGACACGTGCGCTATTCCAGCTTGCGCGATACTAATACTGCTATACAGTCGTCGGTGTCCAGACCGCCATGGGTGAGGAGGCTGCCATCGATGTCAAGGAGGCTTCCAACAAGGATTAAAGGAAGTTTGGAGGAGTTGGAGGGACACCGGACGTTTGGCATTTAATGATGGCTTCATGGGACGGTTCTGTTGGTTTTTGCCTGGCTAAGAGATATCCGTCTTTTTTGCGCTATATCTGTGTTTAAGGGTCACATATGAATGGTTTCACGTCTCCCCGTTTTGTTGGACCCGGTAGCTGCTGGAATAGGGCGCGACTTCCTGAAGGAGTCGCACGAAGCTAACGTCTGCCAAACATCTTGAGCGTCTCGTGGTCTTTGTATCGGTGCGGATCATTGAATTCTGGTTGTTCGCGAATCGCAAAAGAGCCGTGCTGTTTGTTAGCACAACGGACGTTTGCTGGATTGAGTTGTTGGTTGGTCCAGGTTGGCTTCTCCGTTCTGAGTACCTCTCTGGTCTCGTTTAGTCTCCGATAGGATGAGCAAAGTTCATGCCGTGTGGGGATAATGATACCGAGGCATGACTGGCGGCGCAACTGACGTCGACATGTACATACGTATCGACTTTCACGATTTAAGCATATGCTAGTCTCCGTCAATGTGTGGGTCATTCTATGGGATATCATAAAAGCATCAATGAATTAGGTAGTCTTTGTGGTGTACCTATACCCATCATGCCTCCACTAGCGATCCAAAGGTCGATGTGTCCGATGGGTCAGCCAGGCCTTTTCACTCTAACTTCACTTCAGACTGCACATAACGAAACATCAGACTGAAGAGCAGTTTGCTGTCCGTCAACTTGAAGTGATTAGTAGTTGACAACAGAAAGCGGCGTTTCGTATCTTGGCGAGTTTGGCGGCTTTCATCAGAAGGAAGGTCAAAGGCAAAGTCGGTTTCGCGCTTTTTCGGCTTGGGTTTGAAATTTTCATTCTTTCGGCGAGTCGCATCTCTGCCCAACACGCTTTCAACATAAGTGTAACTATCGCCATTTATCTTATTTTATTCAGCTGAATGATACCCATTTTCACTCTACACACAGGAGACCTTGCAGCGTTCAATCATTTGACCCTTCCCCTCACGAACCCGTGCGTCCGTTTTCATTACTCACTCACCCACCCCGCTCGACCATGCGTCATCAGTGACGGGACATAGCGAGGAACAACGTTACAGTCTTAACAGGCAGGCAGGCAGCCAAGCGCTACAGAGTATGGATGAACAAAGGCTGCGAAAGTTTCCCAACGGACAGAGATGTACCGAATGCCGTGCGCGAAAGTACTACTCGGAGAATGGACGAAGATATTGTCAGCGCGGTCATGAAGTTGAGGTACGATCAACCACTTCAAAACAGTCAAATGCAATTGAGTCCAATATCCATCCAGGCGCTGATCACATAATATCTCCAGGGGTACATCCAATTTGACGTCGACGAAGACGACAACTATGGCAAAACCGGCAAGGTAGTGCGCAAAGAAAAGGAAGTCCGCGAAACCGAGCGCAAGCATCTCTCGGGCAATGACGCCAAGGAACTCTACCTCGACTGCCTGCAGATCATCTTGCGCAAACAAATCCTCTGGCTGATCCGCGAAAAAGGGTTCTCGGACGAACTCGAGTCTATCTGCCGCGACCTCTGGGACCTACGCATCCGCAAGTTCATTGGTCTCAAAAGCGTTTCTAGGGTATCATCACTCCAGGCGAAAGGAAAGGGGATTGATCACGATGGAACGGGGTCGCAACATGGTGGCGGTGCGCTCTCTCAGTCGGGTTCCGATAGCGAGATGGTCATGTACAGCTCGCAGGCGGAAACGACGGACACGTCGGCTGATGAGAGTGTGAAGAGCCAGAGGAGGAGGTCGAGTAGGGTGAAGGATTGGGAGAGCGAGCTGTGGGATCTGCCTGGCCCGATGGAAGTGCTGGCGCTGATTTATATGGGGTGTCTGCTCAAGCAGGAGCCGGTGAGGGTAGGGGATATTTATCGGTGGGCGAAGAATAACCAGTTGCCGTTTCTTGGTGCGGTAAGTTGATGTGTGCTTTGGACTCTCAAGAAGGTTCTCTTGCTGACATTCTTCCTGCTAGCTTGAACTGGTGCCGAACGAACTACGAGAACGTTTGCCTGGTTGGGCTCAGCGCACGCTACTAACACGATGGGCAAAGTTTGACGGAAGCGAGCTTCACAAGTCGTTGTTGACCTTGACCCTAGGTTTTAAGAAGAACTATGGCATGGTATCACCGCCACTTCCAGCACCGTCACTTCTCGTTTTATACCTCAAAGACCTGGCTCTACCACGTAAGTTCTGCCCAGCCGCCCCTCTTCCTTCAAAGATAGACACTCTAATCATCATCATCATCATACAGCCGAGGTCCACCTCCACGCCCGACAAATCTGCCTCATGCTCAACCTCTCCTGGACCTTCCCAACGCGGCAAAACATTAAAGACGACGCGTCATCCTTCACCGGCAAAACCTCTCGCTATACCCTCCTCGACATCCCCGACGTACTACTAGTGGCCTCTCTTGTGCTAGCTACCAAGTACATGTACCCTATGGACGGCGTCAAGCGGTACCCACGAGACAACAACGACCCATTAACGCTGAAGATGGACTGGGACGCTTGGGAGGCTGAGTTCGCGGATCCGCCCGAAAAGCCACTGAGGAGGCTCGACTTTGCGACCATGGATGCGGAGAAGGTTTGGACTCTGAGTAAGGAGCAGATGGTGGAGTATTTGGATTGGTATCAGGAGACGCAGTTGAAATCATGGAGCGCTGCTGGTATGTCTTTTCTCCTTCTGCTTCACCTACCAGGATGTCCGCCAGAATGCAAAACGGTTTACTGACAAACACTTCAAATAGACGAAACCGAAATCGAACGTCTCTTCCCTCTCGAGAACGTACTGCGATTACCGGAACCCGGCAGCAAAGACATGACTGATGAGCAGCTCATTGCTCGGATGCACCGAGTGCAAAAGTCGATGACACTGGTTGAACCAAGACCTGAGACTAATGATGGGAAGAATATTAAGAGGCTGGGTGCGCTTCATCAGCGGTTTAGGTCGGTCGAGCAACTTGGGGGATCTGGACCTGCAAGAAGGTTCCATGAGAAGGCAGCGGAGATCTCTGGGCTGTCACTGAAGGCTTTGGTGAAGGCGGTTTATAGCCTGGAAGAGCTGTTGTATGGTTGGGAGAAGAGGGAGAAGAGGAAGATGAGGTTGGGGGAGGTATGACTTGCTTTGAATACTTGCCCGAGCAGGTCCTTGGGTTTAGAACAGTACAAGACTGGGATTGGGACATAAGATATTTATATTGAGCATTATAAGGGCACAATTCCGTTGAGGTTGAGGAAACTAGCAATCGTTGGTGAAGGCGACCGTGGTGTTGAAGATGTAGGTACAGTGCAGATATGAAGCTGATGAACACTGTGACATGTGCACGTACCACTTTGCCCAGAGCGGCCGTTTCCATAACCCCACCATCATAGCTTCGTCCTGTTGCTGTTCCCCGACATCATCACATCACATCACTCCTTCACCACTGCACCGCCAACTGACCTCACCTAGGAATAATTGGTCAAGAGTAAGTTCCGATACACTGCTTCATAGACCTATCCCTCAATTTGTCGAAATGCTAATCTGACCTTAACCGCAGTGCAAATGTGAGTTTTCACGACGTTCCGCAGCACGAAGCAATCAAGCGGAGTCGAGTCAGGTCACTAACAAACGGGACGTTGTACCCCTGGTGTATAGCTTCGTCAAGACCCTCACGGGCAAGACCATCACGCTCGAGGTCGAGTCCTCGGACACGATTGACAATGTCAAGCAGAAGATTCAGGATAAGGAGGGTATCCCGCCCGACCAGCAGCGCCTGATTTTCGCTGGCAAGCAGCTCGAGGATGGCCGCACCCTCTCCGACTACAACATCCAGAAGGTCAGTGGACTGGTGGCCCCACACTGCGCTTATGACGTACATGTTATAGGCGTTAGGGAGAACAACTGTTGTGGTCAACTTCCATTGTCGCGATGGTGATGAGAACAGAAATGGGATTCAATTGCTTGGTGTCATGGTCGATTAGCTAACAAGGCTTTCTGCTATAGGAGTCGACCCTCCACTTGGTCCTCCGTCTGCGCGGTGGTATCATCGAGCCCTCGCTCAAGGCGCTTGCCTCCAAATTCAACTGCGACAAGATGATTTGCCGCAAGTGCTACGTACGTATACACTATATCATCTGTCCGCCTTCTTAAATGTTGAATCAAGGCCTAACTTCTTTCCAGGCTCGTCTGCCTCCCCGTGCCACCAATTGCCGTAAGCGCAAGTGCGGACATACCAACCAGCTCCGCCCCAAGAAGAAGCTCAAATAGACGGCTCAGTCTTACGTACCAGCATCAGGGTTTGGCGCATTTGGGTTTTTTGGGGGCAACGGGTATGGTTATGGCAACGGCATAAGGACAACAGGACAGGGAAACACGGGACCTGGGGATGGATGGCTACGGCTTAAAGCGTCAAGTCGAGGACTCCTAGGTAGCTCATGAATGAACTCAGACATTGCCCGTGGGGATACACAAAAGAGCATTGAAGATCTCCTACCAAAACCAGTGATCTTGTAGAAAAGTCTCGTCTTGATCGCGAATGTAGCTCGCAACAGTCCTCAACTACCTTGATGGCCACTTTAGACCCACGTGACATATTGCGGGGAGTTACTGCAGGGACCGGGAAACCGTTAGGGGGGGTGCACTGCTGCAGTTTCAGGACCCCAACAGGGGGCGTGCACGCAATTGTACAGCGAGCGGTACGTACCTGACCTCTACCAGTACCCTTTGGTGTACGCGGCTCACGTTGAAACAGCTGTCCACCACCAGCTTCCCGAGGGACCAGACCAGCTTTGGAGGAGCTTACCTCTACCTACCGAATGACCGACTTACACCAAGCACAAACTAATCATACCATTTAACTTCAAGGCGATTCACAGCTATCAGCGTGTCTCCAAGCTCCAACCAGCTTACCATCCAAGGACTCGTCATCACAATCCACATTCGACCAGCAGACAGCAAACAACCGCCACGATGTCCAGATCCGGCTACGATGCAGTCGTAGACGTCGACGACGAGGTTAGTTCGCCCTCTCCTCCCCTCCCATCCGCTCCCATGGTAGTCATCTATTACATACCCAACTAACCACCCTTTTTTCTCCTTCTCTCCAGGGCGACCTAGGCCACACCGACCTCCAAGAAGATCTTGAATTCCACCAATCCAACTTTTCCGAATCCTCCCCCCTCGGGCGCAACGGCACCAAATCCACCCAACACACCACCACTTCCACTTCCTCCGGCGGCGGGTTACTTCCCGCTCCCGTAACCGCCGCCCGCACCTCCAACAACTCCAGCTCAGGAAGTAGCAAGCGCTTCCTCTGGACGCTCTCCTTCTACGCGCAGTTCTTTGACGTGGACACGTCCAGCGTGCTGCAGCGGTGCTGGGCAGCCCTGTATCCGCGAGCCAACTTTTTGGATGTGTTGGAGGGGAATCCGGACCTGTACGGGCCGTTTTGGATCGCGACGACGGTGGTGCTGATTTTGTTTTTGGGCGGGACGATTAGTGATTATTTGGCGCAGACGGGGAAGGAGGCGTTTGCGTATGATTTTCGGTTGTTGAGCGGTAAGTTTTTTCCCTTTGGGTGAATGGGTGATTGATTTTAGTGACATGGGGCTGATATGTGATAAAAAAAAACAACAGGTGCCGCTGGTCTCATCTACGGCTACACCTTTGTCCTGCCGGTCGCTTTGTATCTCGCCCTGCGGTACTTTGGTTCGGAGTCCGCCAACCTGCTCGAGTGCTGGGCTTTATACGGCTATTCCAACCTCATCTGGATCCCTGTGGCGTTGATCAGTTGGTCGCCGATTACCATCCTCAACTGGGTGTTTGTGGGCGTGGGGTTCGGCGTGTCGGTGGCCTTTTTGCTCAGGAACCTTTATCCGGTGCTCAGCGCGACGGATCGCCAGACGAGCAAGGTGCTGCTGTTTGTCGTGGTGGCGTTGCACTTTGGTTTGGCCCTGGCCATCAAGGTGCTCTTCTTTGCGCATGGAAGCCCGGCGTTGAAGGATGGTCCCAAGGGAGCTGCCCCGGGTGGTGGAGACGCGAAGCCTGCTGATCCGGCTACGATGATGATGATGTTCTAAGGACATAGGATAAAGATGTGAGGGAGATAGGTTTAATAGGAAGAGAGGTACGTTTGGAGCTGTATGGATCCGTCAACAAAAAGGTTATGGGGGAGGCGTTTGCCGCAATTGGTTTCTGGGATTGATAAGTTCAAGTCCAATCGGATTTTCAATTCAACCTATGACTTCTGCTGAATTGAATTGCGCTGGCAGTTTATTTGGCCCATCTGCTGCCCTCCCTCTGGGGTACGCTATCCTCCTCTTTCTATCCCGGGTATAACAGGTACAATACGTTCCATCCATCCAGTTCCCAGGTGGTAGAGGTAGACATAAGAAACGTCTCCTCTTAACCACCTCCCTTCTTTTCCTAACCATGCCTTTTCATATCCATCATCCTTTTTATCCCATCCCCGTGCCCCACCCCTCGTGCCGGGGAGGGAGGGACCCCTTTCATTGTCCATACTCGCTATCGATACTTTTAACGATCTGACCTGACCATAGGGTAATCAGGCCAAACCGCTTGCCGCTTCCCATGCCGCTGCTCATCTCGAAATCATTTCAAGTCTTCCTAATACTACCACCCACAACCCCCACATTAAAAAAGAATCAGCGCCCCATCCCCATTGATGAACCAAGTAGGAATAGCCCTTGTTGTCTGGTGTTGGTCATGGGACTACTACTCACGGACTTGCTCTTGCTGTTGCTCTTGCTCTTGCTTTTGCTGATTTCTGAAGACGGTGAAGAAGATCCAAAAGTGGAGTGGAATTTGTCCTTGAGGAGACTGGTTCGGCTGGAGAAGCTGGATGTTGAGGTGGTGGATTCGGCGTAGTGGTGGTTCTTTTTGGGTGAGGACTGGGAGGAAGACTTGGGGGCCAAAGGAGATTGTTCCAGGGCGCGAGTGCCTTCGACGATTTGGAGGGCGTGAGAGCGGGAGGTGGGGTGGGAGGGGAAGGTGAAGTTTGTTGAGGCGGACATGGTTATGTTTTTGGGGCCTGTTGTCCTTGGGTGGTGATGATGATGGTTGGACTGAAAAGTCTTGTCTTTTTGGATGATATTGGTGGTGGTGTACAAGTGTCCGTGTAAGTGAAGCTTCAAGTTGGTTGGTTGGAGGTGATAGAGGTTGTTGCTCAGGTGTGGTCCTTGTGTTCTTGAGGAAGGTACCTTGGTTGTACTTGAGATCTGAAGTCTGAAGCTGTTGATGATGATGATGAACGAAACACAACATCCTGAAAAGCGAGGCCATCAACTCCTCTTATACATCCTTGACAACTCGGTTCTCGTCCTTCTCATCTCCCCTTACCCATCTGGACCACAACAATACCTACACTAATTTCGGTGAGGAGAGAAGGGTAAGGCCGATTTCGTCGAACAAAGCAAAGCCACTCCGCCTTTCTCCCCCATCTACCATCAAAAACGTATCACGGTATCCCAGTATCCAGCATCCCTTGATGTAAGTGCTGACCAGATGTGCGTACACACATACGTGTACCTCCTACCCTCATCTCCACAGTAATTCAAAGAAAAAAAAATAAAGGACATTAGGCTACGCATTCCTTGTCCCTACAACCACGACAACAACAGATGGAATAGTAAGAACCCACCCATGCTCTTGCATAAACCACGTGGGAAACCCTGTCAACTCAGCCCAACCACTGATTGAAAAGCAATCAAAAGTGAAGCAAAGCAAAGCAAAGCAAAGCAAAGCCATCATGAGTCACAGCACCGAAACCAAATTTTTCTAGTCGAGTATTTGTCAATGGCTTTGCATATTGAAAAGGCTACCCATACCATATGCCAGCGTAACTCAGTAACGTCTACTACATACTATCAAAGTAAGGCTAACTAGTCTAGTCGCGTGGCTGCGCCATCCATATCATGGTTCACTATGATTCATCATGTAGGTATGTGCAATTGGGAACTTTTTGGGGGAAAGTTACATGTTTCGAAACGCCACGGGAGGAAGAAAAAAAAAGGTGTCGTTACACAAAGGCACAAAAAGTAGCCGCGTGTTGTAAGTTTGGAAAAAGAAACTGAATGGTGGGCAGTGGGTTGCCGAACGAAAAGCTTACCTAGTGCTGACAGCGGCAGGTAGGTAAGAAGGCTACCTAGCAGGCTACGTTGATGGATTACGTTCGTTTACGCAGTAAGAGTTCGTTGTCAGTTAAGTCAAGCAACGTTAGTGAGTAGGCTACCAGAATTTTCGGTTGTATTGAGAAGCACTGCCGTCGTCATACCGCTTTTTCTCATATTTTTTACGGCTTTGGGATGTTGGAACGGGGAGTTTTGTATGTTGTTTGGGTCGTTCGACGTACGCGGCCAACCGTTATGAGCAGCGGGGATATACACAAGGGTCGAAAAGCTTAGTCTAGTTACCCGTCGGTTGAAAATCTTATTAATACGTAGGTTGGTCACAAAGCTCGGGGTGAAGGTCCACACATGATGGTGATGGTGATGTACGTAGTGTACTTCAGCCTTGGTTTTCACATGTTTACAATTTCAGGGCTGACATTGTGGGTGTAAAAGGTATGAATGATGATGGTTCTGGGAATACTATGTACACAGTAGTGTAAGCAGCTTTGGAGGTTACGAATCCCGGCGTCCATAAGAGGAATGAGACTATTCCCAACAGGGATTCAACAGAGTCTTCTAACCAATTGGCTCTCTTGCCGTTGTGACACACACACCGAAAGCATAAAGTTCTTTTCGGGCTACGTATCCGCTGTCAGTTCCTACCTGTCACTTGTGGCATCATAGCGTACGTACCTAGGCTCCAAGTTCGTTCGTGGCTTTCTGTCAGTGACTATTGTAGCTTACGCCATCTACGAGTGTAACGTGAACGGTTCGTTCGTGAGGTTCATGAACCGTCCTGCGTGGACCTTGCATAGAGGCTTTTGTGAAAAGCTCAGCCAGAAGAGTCACAGAACGCGCCGCTTCACGTTTTGGATTGGGAAAGAAGCTTGCGGCGGTGATGCGATTGGGTGCCATTCCAGATGGAGGTGGTGATGGTTGGACTCAGACTTAGGCGGTGGTGTATCATGCTCCAAGCCACACAACGACGCCGGTGTGGACGACGGATGAGTCAACGGACAATGAGCTACAGTACATGCAAGTCAGATTCGATCGAGCTGGCCGAAAAGGGATGGCTCCCCTATTGTTTCTGGAATTGGATTCGTCTGATGTCGTCCTCTTTACCGGGCTCATGACAATGTTTTTCAAAGGTCTTTGACCCCCACTCCGCTTCCAAGTCGACTTCGTGCTCATCGACAACAAAACCACAGCTCATCACCATAGGTTCAATGATATGTTTTCGCATCCCATGAAGATGGTGAGACAGTGTTGGTCATTGACCGCTTTCTTCTTACTGAGTTGTCTAGGAAGGATCTCGGGATCTCCAGAGCGACGTTTACACTACACCTCTCGGACGACGAACCCTGACGGCAGTGGACCTCGCTAGAAGCCTTCTAGAATACCAAGCAACCTGGTGAAGGGGTCAGGGGCAGAGCGGCCGTACTTGCGGCACTGAAGACGGCACTTCGCGACGCGACGCGACGAGTAGTTCGACCGATTTTGCCATTGTCGACAGCATCATTGTGAAAGGCGATTCTGTAATCTCCGCGAGGGACCGGACCGAAAGTTTGGTGGAGGACCCCAACGTAGTGTATGTATGATGCTGGATGGTTTCGGTGAATTACTGATGCTGGAGCCAATGCCTCTGTTTGAGATCACTCCAGCTTCCACCGTTGTGGATGAGTTGACCCCTGAGATGGGGACTGCCTGATGCAGGTCAACAAGAGCTTCCATTGTCGTACGAAGCTCGAACCAGCCCTTCGGCTCGGAATGACAAGCAGATCAGTACGGTACACATGACATATGAAAGATCTGGACCACAAATCATCGTCATTCAAGAAGAGATCACACAAGTCAGAAATCCCCACCATTCGATGAAGCCATTGATTGGCTTACCGAGACGGGAGAATGCGAATACGAATGGGAGCACGGACCCCAGCCAGGGGTAGTGCCAAAGCGAACACTGGACAGAAGCTGGGCTACGCCTGATAGGGCACAGATGTGCCATTGGATGGAGGTGATGGTAGGCACTATCAGATGCCATCAGTTTACACGCCTTTCAAATCAATGATCAGTGTAGTAGAAATCCCGAATATGAGCAATCACCATTACATCCAGACATCGTACACCACTCGTCCAAATGTTTTGTGTAGAGGTGAAATGACAAGGACTTGGTTTTGCCCGCCCAACACAGCTCGGTATTGGGAGCTACACTAACAAGAGACGGCGGCTGTTGGTGAGCTTCCTCTTTGCGACAAAGTCTTTCCCGAGGCCGAAAGCAAAGCTGTAGATCCGACTAGGAGTGTCTCACACAGTGTGGACTCTGGAGGTCGGTTGTTGCACTTGTTGAACCCTGCCCGAATAAATCAAAGGGAAGCGGCTCTTTGGTCCGTGGATTCGTACATGCCTGGGCCCCGGCCCTGTGTGGTGGTGGTGGTGGTGGTGCGGAGTGGGGTGGTTCGGTGGTTCCTGGTGTGGTTTTGCCAGCAAATGGCACATTGATCGGGAGTTCGTGCCTGTCTAATCTCCTCCACTTCCATCTCTTCCCTCCACCCACCCACCCGCTCGTCAAAATGGCCCAAGCTGGTCGAAGCTGGGCGCCGCTGCCGGGGTAAAATGGCATGCTACTGGTCAATTGGCCCCCCAGCTTGCAACACTCAATCCAAACAAGACCCGACGGGAGCAATGTCGAGCTCGCCGGCGCCATAGAATAATGCCCAAAATCTCTTTTCCGGTAACTAGCTCGTCCCACGGCACCCGACGCCAAGGGGTCACTTCACAACTTAATCCTTGCCATCACCCGCCTATCGCCCTGTTGGACGGGCATTCGTTGTTATCCGCTGTCCGGGTCCCCTTTTTTTTCGCCCGGTGTCTTTTCAGTAGTTACGTTATATTAGATATTGCGCCTTCCTTGTACCACGTCCCAGGGGAAAACCGCCCTTTTTTTCTTCTGCTTTCCCATCCTCATCCTCCACCTCCACCCTTCCTAATCCCCCATCTCGCTTCACACCGAGCTTCTCGTCGCTAGAGGCCTTATCGGTGTAGGTGAACTCTTGGGCACCCCCGTCCGAAACCCTACAGTCTGCCGGTAAACCTCGACCGCAACGCGCAACATGGCTTCCAACGCAACCAGCTTCACCTCGCCGCTGGCCAGCGCCAAGCTCGGCACCGTTGCTGTTCCTCCCCAGCTCGAATACGTTATCGATACCATTTCCCAGGCGAGCGGCTGGACTATTGTCTTTACTCTTCTTGCTGTTCTTGTTGCTTGGGATCAGAGTATGTTCCAGTCTCGCTGGGCGCAAATGTCAAACGATTAGAGATACTGACAAGTCTTGCCGCGCGCAGTCAAGTACGTCCTCAACAAGGGCACAATCGCTGGCCCATCATGGAAGATTCCCTTTATCGGACCCTTCTTGGAGTCCCTTGACCCCAAGTTCGAGGAATACTATGCCAAGTGGTTGAGCGGTCCTCTCAGCTGCGTTTCCGTCTTTCACAAGTAAGTCGAACCCTCGCGTATGACTTGCGCTGAGAAATCCTGGTCGGGAAACTAACGACACGAATCGCAGGTTTGTCGTGATTGCCTCGACTCGCGATATGGCCCGTAAGGTCTTCAACAGCCCCAGCTATGTCAAGCCCTGCGTCGTCGATGTCGCCCACAAGCTCCTCGGCGCCGACAACTGGGTCTTCCTCGATGGCCCCGCCCACGTCGAGTTCCGCAAGGGTCTCAACGGCCTCTTCACTCGCAGGGCTCTCGAGATCTACCTTCCCGGACAGGAGGAGGTGTACAACCGCTACTTCAAGTCCTTCCTGGAGATCACCAAGAACGCCGGTGGAAAGCCCGTCCCCTGGATGCCCCACTTCCGTGAGGTCATTACTGCTGTCTCTTGCCGTTCCTTTGTCGGTCATTACATTTCCGATGAGGCCGTCAAGAAGATTGCCGACGACTACTACCTGATTACCGCCGCTCTCGAGCTTGTCAACTTCCCCATCATTATTCCCTACACCAAGACGTGGTATGGCAAGAAGGCGGCTGATATGGTCCTTGCCGAGTTTGCCAAGTGTGCTGCGAAGAGCAAGGTCCGCATGGCTGCTGGAGGCGAGGCCACCTGCATCATGGATGCCTGGATCAAGCAGATGATTGACTCCAAGAAGTGGCGCGAGGCCGTTGCCAGCGGTAACACCGAGGGTCTTGAGAAGCCTACTCACCTGCTCCGCGACTTCACCGACTATGAGATCTCGCAGACCATCTTCACCTTCCTCTTCGCTTCCCAGGATGCCACCAGCTCCGCCGCTACTTGGCTCTTCCAGATCATGGCTCAGCGCCCTGATGTGCTCGACCGTGTCCGTGAGGAGAACCTCAAGGTTCGCAACGGTGATATCCACGCCCCCATCAACATGGAGCAGCTCGAGTCCATGACCTATACCCGTGCCGTTGTTCGTGAGCTCCTCCGTTACCGCCCTCCTGTGCTCATGGTCCCCTACCTGGTCAAGAAGGCTTTCCCCATCACTGAGGATTACACCATCCCCAAGGGCTCCATGGTGGTTCCCACCACCTACATGGCTCTCCGCGACCCCGAAGTTTACCCCAACCCCGACTACTTTGACCCCGAACGTTACTACTCGGGTGATGCCGAGGCCAAGGGTGCCAAGAACTATCTCGTTTTCGGCGTCGGTCCTCACTACTGCCTCGGTCAGCATTATGCTCAGCTCAACCTTGCCCTCTTCGTCGGCAAGGCTTCTCTTCTCCTCGATTGGAAGCATCACCCCACTCCTCTGTCCGAGGAGATTAAGGTGTTTGCCACCATCTTCCCCAAGGTGAGTCTTGACTGTTCCTGCTGTTTTGTTTGTAGAGACTTTTTCAGCTAACGTTATATAGGATGACTGCCCCCTCACTTTCGAGGAGCGCAAGTGGTAGACGGAGAGGGTTTTGGGTGCGGACATCAATATAAAAAAAGAGATCTTTCTTTGATCTGGGAGATCAGCGGAATGAAAAAGCATATAATATCGCGGGTTTTGGTCAACTTTTAAAGGGCCACGGAAGAACTTGACGAAACAGACACATGATGAACCGAAGTTCAGTCATCCCTCCCGATTACCCCCCGACTATACATTATACCCCCGCCGGAGAGAGAGCGTTGCATTCTGGATGACGAAGATTTCACGAGGCGCGAAAAAGGCTGTTGTTTGGAATGGCAGGCCGGCGCGAAAAAGGGGAAAGGATGGCATGGACCCTTATGATGGATAATGATGGTTTTCTAGGGCGTCGCTGGCCCTGACTGACAAATGTCGGCAGAAGGGGCTCCTGGAAAAGAGAAACTTGGCCGGGCGTGCTTCGATACCAACAACAAAGATATAGTTAATATAATACCATAAGAAGTGAATTAGGCGCCAGTGACAGTGAAAGGCAAGGAATCGGCGTGGTGATATACATTAGAGAAGTTGAGCCTCATCCAGCCAAGCCAGCCTGAGATCCCCAAAGGATCCTTAATGGATGCTGGCGGGAGGCACAGCACAAGCTGATATGTCATGAGATGTCTTTTTGTACACCCACTCATCATCGCACACCGGCTGGTTGCTGCATTCAGTTGGCATCTGACACTTTGTGACAACCAGTTGTCAGTTGTTGTTCTGTTTCGTTTCGAGTTTCCACGAGAGTTTCGACTCCACCATCAAATAATAGAGTGGGGTACCATGTATTCACATGAATTCGGGCCCCACTATCTTAACGTCACCTCCATCCCCGCGGCGTAGGTAGCGTACCTTACCTACCTCGAGCTGAAGTACCTTTACCCCGGGCGGCCCGCCCGCCCACACCTCCGCAGTTCGGCGCCCGCTGGAGCATTACATATCGCATGCCCGTCAGCCCGTTACATAACACACTGCCGCTGCCGGCAAATTGACTGACTGACCTGACTGAGTGAGATTGTGATAATTACTGACTTATACCTTTCCACTTTGGACCGCCACGACATCTTTTCTCTCTCTCTCTCTCTCCGTTACCAAACCATCACCACCACCACCGACATCATAAACATAATGCTGTCCGCCCCAACAAGACGTTCCATCGCCCGCCTCTCTGCCGGCGCGGCGAAGTCTATCGGCTCTACCGGTACCACTTCCGTTGCCGGTAGTGTTACGAACGCGACCTTGCGCAAGGCTGCTGCTGCTACCAAAGGACAACAACAAGTGATCCCGACGAAAAGAGCTTTCTCGACCGCTGTGCGCCCAAATAACACATCAACAGCAACAAGGGCGGCTAGGGCGGCGTATTACTCGCAGGAGGCGCAGGGAAAGGGACAGAAGGGAGAGAATAAGATTTGGGCTTTTGAGGAGGTGGGTTTTTTTCCCCCTTTGTGATATTTTCTTTTGGGAGAGCTTTGGGAGGGGGAGTCTTGAACGAAACTCTGGGAGCAAAAAAATGAGGAAAAGAAGAACAAAGAAAAAAAAAGGATGATCCTTTGGGGATGGGGGACGGGAGTCTGATAATGATTGGAAAATCCCCCGAGATGGAAGGTGTCTGAGGCAAAAGCTACGGAAGACATCGATTCGATGGAAGAAGAACGAAAAGAATGAAAGAATGAGCACAGGACAAGACTGGATGTCCAAATCAGGATATCCAAAACAGAATAACTGACCGGATACACACCCACAGATCCAAACCTTGATCGAAGATCCTAACCGAAACGTTATTATCATCGGTACGTCTTTCTTCAGTTCCGTTCCCTTTACTTACACTTATTACACGTTACATCACCTACTTGCACCATGACCACTCCAAACCCCCATCCCATCCCCTCTTCCCTTTGAACCTCCTCTTCCCTTCCCCCCTTCCTCTCTTTTCCCAATATTTCCACATTCAACCCCC